AAAAACCAATAGAGCTTAACTGTGAATTTGTTCTCAAATTTTACAGATAAACTTCACCTCTTATATTTTGCGTCCACGGCTTTTGGGAAAAAACTCATCCATCTCTCATCCGTTTTATCCATCCTTTAAATGATAAACCTATAAGGGATCAATAGGTTTTATACATTTTCAAAATAAACTATATTTATTTTTTACATTTATCGTTTCTTAATAAAAATGTACACTATTTCAAATAGATAGTTGATATTCCACCTATATGAATACATAGGTATCTCTAAGAAATATAGTTTAGAAACATCAAACCTAAATACAAACCGACATACGTACGAACTCCTTAAAGAAATAGCAGGGCAGGCCAAACAAAACTATTATTGAATAAAAACATCTTGGTTTGCTTGAAGGGGGTGAGCGGGGTGCGCTTTTAAGAGCACCCTATTAAGGTGTAACACAGGGAAGCGCGATACGACTGGTTCTTCTACATCCGGGACTGGGGCGCTGGGAAAACACCATTAAACGGTTGCCTTGCTTGGCAGCTTTCGAGGAGACCCCCGAGACGGGACGGAACCCCCTTCCCGACCCGGACGCCAAAAGCCTTGAGCGTGCCCCGCAGGCCCCGGATCTAAAAAGGAGATAAAAAGAAGCCTCGGCTGAGCCCGCGTAAACGACCCCGAAGTGTATTATTAAAACAAACTAACTTCATCTCTACGTTCCCCATTTGGCCCCTATAGCTGAAAGGGAAAAAGCGCAAAGAGACCAGGCCTCGCAACCTCCGGTGGCGCCGCCGCCACCGGTTCTCGGTCGCTTCCTTACGGACAGAGGAGGCGAAAGGCTAGGAACGGCCAGGCGATCATCTTAGGGGAGAGGACCAAACGAGTGGCCAGGGTGGAGGTGGGGGAGGGGGAAGGTGGGGATCCCCCGCTAACTAGGTAAGAGAGAAACCCGGTATCTTTCTGGAATCAGGCAATGCGGGGATGACTCGGCTCACCTGAGGCAGTAGCGGGCTTCCTTTTTTCCTTCCTGCGGCCTTGCCGGTAGACGTGCGCTCCGTTAGCGTAGTGCAGAAGAGAGGACGGGAAAAAGCGGGGAACCGTGCGGCGGACGGACAGGAAGCTGGGGACGGCTTCGACGGATGGACAGTAAGTCGGCCGTGCTGGGAAGGTCGTCGTCGGTGGTAATGCTACGGGACGGAAAACTGTGCCCTCCTGTGGTCAAAAACGGGTATTGCGGTCGCCGAAACAAATAAACCTTTTAAATGGGATTTTAAGGCTATTTATTTTCTCCGCCATCTTTATGATTAACCCCTTAATAATATTAATAGGGCGATGGGAGGCCCTTTTGCCATTTTAAAGGTTTATTTCTTTTGGGGGCTGCTATACCCGGCTTGGGCCACGGGAGGGCAGCACTGTTTGTCCTCCCTTAGCGAGAGCGGCATTGAGGCCGTCGAAAAGGCCTACCGTGGCCTCGATGGTAATGCTGTGGGACGGGTATTGCGGCCCCCAAGAGAAATAAGCCTTTTGAATAGGGTTTTAAGTTTACGGCCTACCTCGTTGATCGGACGTGGAGCCCGCCGTGCCCAGGTCTCCGCAAAAGGAAGTTGCAGGATGACTAAGAAGGACGGACCGGAAGTCGGCCATGATGGGAAGGTCGTTTTTCAAAGGCCCTGGCGGACGGAGAATTGTAGCGGACAGGAAGTCCGCCATGCCGAGAAGGTCTTCTGTGAAAGGAAGTTTCGGGAACGATTAATTACGATGGACCGGAAGTCGGCCATGATGGAAAGGTCCTTTTGCCACAGGACCTGGGGGACGGCCGATATCGTGGGACAGGAAGTCCGCCGTGCCGAGAAGGCCTCTCGGAGATTACTCCTGAACAACCAGCCGGCGGACATGCGCAGAAGGCTATGGGACGGGAAACCCTGCCCCCCTGTGGTCAAAACGGGTATTGCTGCCGCCGAAAGAAATACTTTTTAATCTGGCCTGCCGGACGCCTGCCACATCCCAGCCGCGACCGAGCAAAGGCAGACGGTGGGATGGAACAGGCGCATCCAGCAGGCCTCACACTGCGCCTGCTCTTGGAGGGCCGGCTCAGTGGTCGCAGGGGACCGCAGAGCTGCAGAGTGTGCCCGCCGGCAGGCTGTGGCTGCTACCAGACAATGTTGGTCCTCCGGCATCGTCCCCGCGGGAGACGCCAGACGGACTGTTCACCCAAGCACGGAGGAATCGAGCGCCGTTTGGGGTTTAGCGCGCCCCCCCCCCCCCAATCCATCCATCTTTCCATCCCTGCCAAAAGGCATGGCCTGCAAGATCGATTCAGGGGATGATCGTTCAGGATCCACCTGAGAGACGGAATCCAGGCTTCCCCTCTTGCTGGGGATGCAGCTGCTTCTCCACACCAGTATTCAGAAAAGGACATCAAGTAGGACAGTTGATTTTTTTAAAAGGTTTTGTTTTTAAACATACATTTGTACATTTTGTTACAAAACTGCAGAGCTACAATTTGATTTAAAATCACTTTTTGGTCAGCAAACATTGTGAAATCTGTATTTACATTGCTTTCTGTTAGTGACTCCCGATTTTTCTTTATAACATTACACACTCAAATAAGACATAGCTTAAGATAAATATATTAGTAAATAAATATTCTGAGAACATCTTTCCATAAATGAAATGTGCTGCTATACATACAGAATAGAAACAAGTTGTTTTCTACCATTAAAAACAATACAACTGGTAATGAAGAAGAGCCCTTTAACCATCTTACAAACCTTTACAGTACATTTTATACAAAACAGTTTAAGTGCTACAGACATCTCATTTTCTTAAAAAAAAAAGTTTATTTGAAAATAGTGCCTCACAAGCCCATCATAGTGGCAATAATTACTTTGATAAAAAGGCCTTTTAGAATTAAAATATACATTGTACTGACCATTATAAAAATTTGTCCTGAAGGGATGCCCAATAGACAACATGAAACTACTTTTTCTCTAAAAGATAGATAATGAACACACAAAAAAGTTTGGGGAGGTGGGCAGGGGGGGTCAAAGAGAGCTCAAGTTGGTGTTCATCACATTGTGTCGAGGAAGCTCCAACTTCTGCCAATAGCTTACTTCTAGACTTTCACTTTCATGGATGCTTATCAACCAGAAGGTTAGGGCAAGGTTAGGACTGGTCGCCCACTCATCCAGAAGGGTAGGGGGGTTCTCTGTAGTCCTTTGAGTGTCATCTCTGCATCTGTGCAAAGATTTTGGAAGTTTGGGAAGAAAGGCAGCATGTCTCCTTGAACAGCAAGGCCCGTGCTGCTCTATAGCTTCAGGTCTGGACAGAATTAACCATACAGACCCAAGAAAAGAATCACAGCTCTTGTACTGTGTGCCAGGTATATGATAAGAGTTAAAATGTAAGTGAGCCGGAAGGACTACAAAATGCCAAGTGTTAAAAGCATCCACACTGAATATGTACCAATCCTAGTGAGCAATTCAGAGCCTGCAGCCCATATATACCGTAGGACCCCAGCACAAGACTGTGTCCCCAACATTAAGCTGCAATAGGGCCAATTTTCAGTAATGCATTTATTTTCAGAAATGAAAAATGAGAGAAGAAATGGGGATTGAAAACATCTGCAAGGTTAATTGCTCTTATTTCTATCTTCAACCCCCAAAGCCAAAAACAGATATGGGAAGAGTTTGCCTTCCCCCCTCCACCCCCAGCCCCCCATCGTAGTTCTTCCCTCTACCCGAGACAAGGAGGATGTTTCCCTTCTGGTGATATCATCTACACTGGATCCAGGAAGCCAGCTATAACTTGCAACCTTGTAAAAGCTTCTTCCCCAGGTATCTACAAAGACCAGGCACCACCACGGGGGCTCCTTAAAAAGTATGTGTGGTAGGAGCAAGAGTGGGAAAAGGCACTAAAGTAGCAAGTGCTGGCTACTAAGCTTGAGTGGGGGAGGGGGACCGGTGCACTGAGGCCATCAGGATTGAGAAATACCAGCTGTGCCAGAAAAAGCTGCTTAGCATCTAGGAACCCCTCCCTCGCCTCCAGTTGCAAACCCAAGCAGGAACTGCACAAGGGAACACCAACTTAGAGCAAATTCTTGAGACGCAGTGCTCCACCTTGTGAGTTAAAACACTCCATTCTCCAGCCAAGGAGAACTGGAAAACACATCTGGGAATCACAATCCCCAGAACAGAGGTGCAGCGAATTTTGATATAGTAACTAGGCAACTGGATGGATCTTAAGAATCTGGCCTTTTGGTGCCTAGGAAATCACTTCTGGAGGTGCTGCTCAGAGAGATGATGCAACCACTAAAATATTTTATGTAGGACTTGGAGAAAACTTCACTAGGCAGAAGCCTTAGAAAATACAAATGGAAAACATTTATGATAGAAGTGGAATAGATGGAAACTGTTGTCAGAAAAGACGTCCAGTTTCACGGTCCTCTGACTGAAGTAAATAACCAGAAAGGGAAGCAGAAATAGAAGTAAAATATATTTTACATATTGGTGATGAGAAGGAAGATTTCTGAAGCAGTAAGAGAAGCCTTAATAAAGGTGGGACAGGAGGGCTTCCTGCTTGAGGCTAGCTACTCTAACCAGCCTCCTCCGCATGATCAGAAGCCACAAAGGCAGGGCTGCCGAAGGGAAAACACACAATATAAGCATGGGCACAAGCACACACTGTTAGAATGAGAAGGACCAAAGCTCAGAAAGGAATTTCATCATGTCACTCTCATACAATAAACTACTAATTGTGAAATCTTTTCATTGTAAAATCCCCTTTTTCATAAACTGGGCAGAAAATGAAAAGTTCAGTAAGTACCTTTGCTAATCCTGACTCATTAACAAATTAAACCCGAGGAGGGGGGAATCCAGGCAACTTCTTTCTTTTAAACAAAAAAGCCCTCCACCCAACTATCCAGGCAGGCACACAGAGGAACAGGAACAGCATCCCAGATGCCAAACATGGCAGTGGTCGCGGTCTCAGCCGCATGGGGGGCAGGAGGCCTTAGGGAACCACGTGGCTGTGGCTGCAGCAGCCGGAAGGGCTGTTTCCATAGGAAACTATTAATAAGGGGAAGGAAACGGCAACACGTTTGGACCCCCAGGGGCGACTGGGAGGGACCTCAGCCAAAGGTCTCGACCCTGGGCAGGCTGGCGAGCGGATGGGCGCAGGGCTCGGGCAGAGCCCACGGCAACTGCAGAATCGGGGCAGACAGAAGGCACTGTTGCAACTGGGCCTCCTCTGGGGCTTAGGGAGAGGTCTGTTTTCCTGCATGAAGAGGCAGGCAGCCTCCGCCCCTCGGACTCCATTTATTTCAAAGTGCCATTTCATTTCTAAGGCAGGCGGGATGACCTGACGCAGCAGCAGGAGGAGGGCACCAGGCTATGCAACTGGGCCTCTTGTCCCCAGGCGGCAGCCGTGGGGGATTCTGTGGTCTGCCAAGGACGCCCTGCACTGCCTGAGTTTCTCGGGATCACTCCCGAGAAACTCCTGTCGTGTGTCAACACAAGCAAAAGAAGGCTTTGAAGTCCAGCAGAAGCACAGCTGCCCCAAGACCATCCTCTTCTTATTAGTTCCCAGCCTGACACCACCCTGGGGAACAGCAGCCCGAAAAAATGAAACTGTTCTTGAGCACTTCTCCAAGCATCCCCTCTCCTAGCCCCTTCAGGTCAAAGCTCAGATCTTGTGCTGGTCCAGCACCAAATGCGAGCAGCTGCTCTCCAGGCCATCCCCACTGCCGCCGATACTGCTCTGAGACTCAAGGAAGCCCAAACGTGGCTAAAACAAGCCTGGATCGGCCCCCTGCAGCTCTTGGGAGGCATTTGGCCAGCTTGGCTGAACAAAGGCATCCCCCTTCCCTCCCTGCTCCACCCACCTCGCCTGCAGCCAAGATGGCGCTGCTGACTTACCCAAAGTCTGAGGGCCTTCTCCAGCAGCCACGGCCTCCAAACAACCTTGCGGAGGGCTGGAAAAGAGCCCGCAGGACTCCTCCAGCGGGAAGCCCACCATGGGCGGGCATGACCCTTCTTGCCGTATCTCTCCTGGCTCGCCAAATGCCTTCATGGGCGTCCCCTGGGCCTGGCTGGGGGCTGTTGTTCCACATGGTGTCTCCCAAGGGCTGCTGCCGCTATAGCAATCTACTGGCAGGGCCAGCTCGGAATCCTGGACTTCGGGAATAATGGCAATGCACTGGCCCGTCTCACGCAGGCCCGGATAGCAGCCCGGCAAGGGGTCTTCTGCACACACATACCGAACATTCACCGCACAGTCTTCCGTGTAACGGCCTGGCCAGATGGGGCTACTGCTGGCCACCCGCTTCTCTTCGTAGAAGTAACAGGGCAAGGCTTCACGAGGGACCCCCTGTGTCCTAATGCTGACCATGCCCTGACTTCTCCTTGTCTGGGGCTCTCGCAAAGAGCCACCCCCTGTCCAAAGTGGCGTGCTCTGAAGTAGCATGGTGCTGCCGCCACCAGCTGCCCTACTTGGCAATTCCCTTGGGGCAGCAGGTACTTCCAAGCAGCAGCCACACGCTTGGTCACAAGGCTCCCTCCCAGTCTGACCTGTCTCTCCAGTGGTCTCAGGGAGCAGCCGTGGGCCTCCTCGCTCAGAGAGGGTGCAGGCCTGTTCCTTCTGCTCCAGCGAAGAGCGGCTACTGCTGCTGCTACTGCTGTAATTCATTTCAAGGCTGCAGTCAGATAGCTGGTCCCTTGCTGCAGCAGCTGGCCCAGACTGGCTGTTGTCTGCCACCAGGTGCAGCGCAGAGGAACCTTCCAGAAGCATCATCTCCCCATGGAGGACCCTGCTTTTTTCTCCGCTCCGGCAGGGGCTTTTGCTGCGGTAGATGTAGGGGTCGTAGTCGCTACTCAGCGAGCTGCGGAAAGTGGAGCAGCTCCCGTAGATCCCCTGGTTGCTGACCTCTGTGCAGTCCACCATGGAGTCGTTGGAGGAGCAGTGGCACCGGCCAGAGCGGCCACCGCCACTGCTACTGCTGTCACTGCCAGGACCATCGGCCAAGTAGCCGCTGCAGATCGAGCGGTGGCCACGGTAACAGCTGAAGCCAGAAGCACTGCCACTCTCTGGCTGGGAGGATGGGGCTACATGGACCGCAGGGGGGAAGAGCCTGTGGCTGCCGAGAGGCTGGAAGGCACGGGGGAGGCCCTTGGCAGCCACGTGGAGGGGGAACTGTCCACTCTGTGGCGGCTCAGGGTAACTGAGGCCCTGGAAGTAGTAGTGCTGAAACATGGTCTCGTACTGGGAGAAGCAAGCCGGCTTGGAGAAAGGGTCCCCGCTGAACTTCGGCCTCTGGAAAGGATGAGGCATTGTACAGGGCTGGCGTTCGGCTGTGCCCAGGTGAGGCTCCAGGTGCAGGATGGGCGGGTAGCTCCGTAAGAAGGCCGGGGCCTCTCCATGCCGATCAACCGTCAAGACGGTGATGGGGTTCCCGTGAGGGTCCATGCTGGTGCGCGTGGGGTAGGCGGTGACGTGACCACCTCTGTGTGCTCGGCCAGGGAAGTGGACAGGCAGGATCATGCGCTGCTGCTGCTGCTGCTGCTGCTGCTGCTGCTGCCGGCTGTGTAACTGGCTGGCCGTCTCCTCACACACCAGGCTGGCGTTTCCCTTCTTTTGCTCTGCATGTAAAAGAAGAGGGGGCTGTTCAACCAAACTTGGAGAGAGTCGACTCCAGTTCCCCAGAGGCAAACACTGCCTGCCAGCCAAGAGCCCGTCTACCAGTGGTGGATGAGCCTTTGGCCGTTCAGACCGCCGCCCTTTCCTTCAAGGACACGGCCGAGGGTAGCTCCAGCAACTCACCAATGATGTTGTGACGGCAGTGGGGGCAAGTGTGATGCTGCAGAAGCCAAGGATCCACACACTTCCTGTGGAACCGGTGGGTGCAGGGAATCACACGCAGCTCCTGCAGGAGCAACATCACAGCTGAAAGGCTCCTGCCCAGTTTCTTCACACAACTTGCTGTGAGCTTGCCAGGCAAGTGCTGCCCAGAACACACACCACTTAGCTTGCCCAGGTGAGAGGAAGGTGCCCAAAGGGATAGGGGGAGTAGGTGAGGCCTCTCCTTATACCCAGACGGCTCAGCAAGCGGCAATCCCTCACTGTGAGTCCCACCCGATGGAGCAGGGACATGAGCCACCCCGGTTGGCTGATCTTGCCCAAGCCATCCAGAAATACAGAAAAGGCTAAAAAGACTTGTACTGAACAGCCTCCTCCGGTGCCTCACCTCCCCATCCAGGTACTTCTCCAAGCAAATAGCGCAGTCCGAGGCAGAGCCGTTGCTGAGCGTGTCCAGGGCACCGCAGCTGCCTTCGCAGGGCCCTTTCAGCTTGGATTTGAACTTCCACGTCTCCATCTTTTCCAGCGCCTGCACAGCCAGCCTGTTCATAGAGCTCTGCGACCAGAGATAACGCGGTGAGGCTGCCGATGGCCAGCGGCACCAACTCTTAGCCTCAGCCTCAGAGGGCAACCAGGGCCAGCCTGGCTCAGGTGGCCAACTCACTGCCGTATTCCGGCAAGCCTGGAACGGACTAGTGAAGCAACAACTTTTCCTAGTTGGTGCCCCGCAGACGTCTAGGCTACAGCTTCCATATCTTATTACATTTTCCAGGTTGCCTGGAGCTAATGGTCCAGCCCCAAATATCCGAGGCCATCCTGCAAGGCTGTTGTTTAGGACAGCAGATAATGCTGCCCAGAAACCTCCAGCTGAGATTTCAGGTGGCACTGAAGGGAGAGGGGGAGGTGGAGGGGGAGAAAAAGGAAAAGACCAGGTTGAAGGGGTCTGTCTGGCTCTTACCTGGCTGCGACGCTGCTTCAATTTGATCTTGATGAGAAGAACCAGGCAAACCAGAGAGACCACCACAAAAAAGGCAAGGAAAATCCCCATGTCAAAGTATTCGGTGGGTTGCTTTGGAGCCGGGGGTGGAGGAAGCAGGAGATAAAAGAGGCAGATTAGATTTCCCACCTCAGATTTCTGAATTGGTTACCTGAGACTAGGGTAGAACCATCTGGTGCCCAGAGACTGCTCGGCTAAAAATCCCTCCCAGCAAAGCTGGGTTTCCCAAATGTCGCTGCTTCTCACAGCAAGTACAAAAACGCTAGGGTTAAATGAGTTCTGGGGAAGAAGCTGCACCTGTAGGACTACAGCCCTGGAGCAGAGCAGAAGCTTCCTTAGAGGTGGTGCCAGACAACCCATCTAATGCCAGGCCAAAGAGATTTACATTTTGAAAGGGAACTAGGCATTCCAAAATCTTACTTCTCTGAGTTCCTCCTCTGGGCATATTTGAAAACACATCTTTGTTCGTAGTTAGTCATCCTCCATTTCAGCTGCTCTTTTCTCCATCAAAGCCTGGGCAGGCAGTTTGGTTGACAAACTTTCTGAATATCCATCATCATAAGATTTGGTAAAGCCTCTGCCCACTCACCCAACCCTGTAGGTCCACTGACCCCCAAAATCTGGTAAACATCAAACCTCCCTTGACCACTTCTGCTGGCTTTAGAGTGATCACAGCCTCCTTTGGGAATCCAGAGACCTGCCTACCTGCCTTTTCTAACTCTTCCCTTTGCCACAATGAGCAATTGTTCATCGTTGTCTGGATTCTCTTTGGATTTTCTTAAAAGCACCACAACCTGAATAGTGTCTTAATGGCCCTCAGGGAGAAAATACTCTTTAAAGAACTGTTCCACTAGACCGGAGGCCAGAAAGTCCAGGGGCGCCTCAGAGCCTGTCAGAGGAGCTAGAGCTAAGGGTCATCAAATGACCTACCAGAACCCCTCCCCCCTACAAATAGGGGAGGCAATGACCGCAAGCTGGATGTGGAAACTTAAAGAAGGTAAGAGGCAGTCTGGTCACTTAACTGGACCAGCCCTGCCCTGAGGACTTACTGGTGGTGGACGGTGCTGGATTCTGGCCCGCGCCACTTTCTGTTTGTTAACAATGTTCATCAGCTTGACTGCATCTGCCCCCTTCACATAAACAACTGGTCTTTTCAATGGGTCCTCCAAGCCCTGATTCAGCTGCAAGAAAGGAGACACCTTTGTGAATGCCTTTGTCCCCAATGTCTTTCTGCTGGGCAGGAACCCAAAGGAGACACACTCTCCACCCCCTCCCTCTCCCAATCAGCAGAGCCTTTAGGACTACGTGGGCAGAGGAGTCCAGAGCTGCCATTGGTACAAAAAGCAAAGCTGGGCTCCTGAGAGGGGTGCTCTAAACCGGACCAATTCAAACTGCTCTTTATGGCCCAGCAGCAGAAAATCTCAGGCATACGTGCCGAAACAGATTTGCCTGACCATGCAACCCTGCACACGGGGCTAGCTGTTCTCCCTCTTTCCAAAGTTCATGGAGGGGGGGGGGGGGTTAGACAATAGGCTTCCTCTGGGGTCAGCAACCATTTTATGGAACCCTGATTCTATTCGATAGGTCAAAGCAGGTCCTTGTTATTTAGGGTTCTTTACCCAAGTGGGCACCAATAATATGTGAGAATCTTTACTGAATATTTTTCATTACTGCTGCTGATGCTTAAAGTGTTGGCTTTCCTGTACCCTCTGTTCCCATGCTTATATATATATATATATATTTAATTTAATTTAATTTAATAATTTAATTTATATACCGCCCTTCTCCCGTAGGACTCAGGGCGGTGCACAGCATATTAAAACAGACAAACAAAATACATCAAAGAACAAAAAAACCCCATAAAACCAAATTAAAAGCCAAATATTAGCCAAATATATATATATATATATATATAGAGAGAGAGAGAGAGATCGATCACAAACTGCATACCTGATCAATGGCATCTGGGTTTTCGGACACATCAAAAATGACAGCTGTGGCTCCTCTTTGAACTGCCCGCTTGGCCTACAAAGCAGAGGGGAAGAGGACCTAAGATCAGCACCCTGCCTCCCTTCCTCCCTCCCTTCCTTTCTTCAACACAACATAAAGGCTGGAGGGGAGGAGAAAAGGAGTCAGTGGGAAGGGGGCCGAATCAGAAGTAATGAAGTGCCCCCAAAGCATATAGACCAGTGGTTCTCAACCTGTGGGTCGGGACCCCATTTGGGGTCGATCGACCATTTCACGGGGGTCGCCAAGCAAGGCTGTCCGCCATTTTTTTTGTCTGCCATTTTTTTTGTCCGCCATTTTTTTCCCCTTTTCCGGTGGGTGTCATGGCCCTTGGGCTGGGCCAGCTGGTGGTTGGCCTGCTCCATCTCTGCCGCTTGCCAGCTACGCCTCGGCCGGCGCAGGGGGCGGAACCACGCATGCGCAGCGCTCCCGGGCAGGGAAAGTCCTCGACTTACGACCGGTTGGGTAGTCCTTGACTTACGACCGGTTTAGTCCTTGACTTACGACCGGTTTAGTCCTTGACTTACGACCGGTTTAGTCCTCGACTTACGACCGGTTGGGGTCGCGGCATTAAAAAGGTTGAGAACCACTGATATAGACTCTTCACAGCTCCCTCCACCAGCACATACTCCCTACATTCTCCGCCTGCTACCATTTACGGTCACCAGAGGGCAACCTTGAGCCAAGGAAGCCTTCCTTGCTTCTTCCCCTTCTGGTAATTTGGAATTGGGGGTGGTGATCCAGAGCCCCCCAGGAAAAAAAGAGCTGTCTTACCCTGATCAGGAAAGAGTTCATGAGTAGGGCCAAACACTTTAGACAATGACGGCCGGCACATCATTTGAGGCCAACAGGCCTCCCATCCCACCTGGATCCTGAGCCAGATTCTAGCCTCCCCGCCCCTCCCTTTTAATTCCTTAAGGAGTCTCCAGCTCTGATCTGCAGAGTGGGTCTCATTCAGTGCTGCAGACCCTCAGTCACCTCTGAAGGCCACCCAGCATTTTGTCTGTTGTGGAAGAGGCCCAGCCTTTCGGCATTCTGCCTGCTTCAAAGGGTGCTGAGCCACTGGATGTTGCAGTTGGAAGGACCCTCCCCTTGGGACAGGCAAGCTTCTCGGCTTCCACTGTTCTTGCCCACCCCCAAGGGGGCGGCGCATGGACTTTCTTAGTGCCTGGTTCAGGAAATGACACCCCTACACCCCACGGGCCTCAGTTCAGGACTGGCAGCAGCCTGGAGGATGGGGCTCCGCTCCAGCATTCCCCAGGACTCCGGTCTCCGGAGCTTAGCTGCAGCTTGGCCTGACCTTCCAGGTTTCCCTGGCAGGAGATCAAAGCGGCCAAGCCACAAACATACCAGAGCAGGAGGCAGCCTCCCAGCTCCTCCTCCTCCTTCCCAGCAGAGGGCAGGGTGGGAAACCTGCCTGCCCCCCAGGAGGGAAAGAAACCCCTCTCCCCAAGCAAAACAAGTAGAGCCATTAAGCAGAATAAGAGAATCACAGAGTTGGAAGGGACCTTGGAGGTCTTCTAGTCCAGCCCCCCTGCTCAAGCAGGGGACCCCATGCCATTCCGGACAAATGGCTGTCCAATCTCTTCTTAATCCTCTGAGCCCTCCTTCTCTGCCTGTACCAAGGTCTCTCAAGGTGGCTCAAGATGCAGGGAGGGCGTGGGACAAGCAAGGCTTTTGACTTTCGGGGCAGTGGGCAGCTTAGGAGCCAAGGCGAGTGGCTCATTCTAAGTACATCTCCAAAAGCCAAGCTGTCCTGGCTCAGCTGTCCTCCAAAGGGTCTTTGTTAAAACAAACCTATTACAAATTCTAGGACACCCGAACACTGGCCAATTTGCACCGGTTCTACAAGGCTGAAACTTGGGGTGTTGTGACTGATGCAAAACTGAGTCCCTACAGAAGCTGCAGGGTCAAAAAGAGTAGAAAGCTGCTCTGGACCAAGTCCTAAACCACCACACCACTTGTGTTTTTTTTTCCCCCAGCCAGGACCCGATGGCAAGGCTTGCAACATGCTACAAGGGAAGTGCTGTGCCCTCCTTACCTTGCCCAGAACAGTGAGGCAGGGTTTTGGTTCCAGGTCAGGCTGCTCCAGCTTCACAACTCCAACCCAGCCATATTCATATAAGTCTTCTTCATCATTGCTGTTGCAGAGTCCCAATGGATGCATCTAAGAAAAGAGGAGAGAGCTTCTGTGAAAATGCACCTCAAAATCCCACTGACAGCTCTTTTCCTGCAGGACCGCATGAAGACTGAAGAACTTATGCAAGATGTCTGCTTGCTTGCTGAACTCATCCACAGAACTGGCATCAGAGCGGCCCCAAAGTCCCCGATAAGAAGCAAAAGGGAATTACCGATGCTTCCACTCAGGAGTTTGCTGCAAAGACTCTATCTTGAAGCCACCGCACAAACTAGCTTTGAAGGAAAATAGAATGATTAATCAGTGAAACAGTTTGCCTCCCAGAGCTGTGTATGCCCCATTGCTGAAGGTTTTCAAGAAAATATTTGTCCAAGCCTTGGACAAAGGTTGGGCTAGAAGGACTCCGAGTCCCTTCCAGCCCTAGGATTCTTATGGCGATTTCTCCCTCACGAAATTAAGGCAAAGGCCAAACCTACAGACTTTTAATGTCTTGAATGAGCATTCACAGAAGGTGTGTCCCAAAGCACCTGCCTTGGGACAGAGTTGCAGGCGGAAGAGTTGTGCTTGGCGGGTCGAGGGCTGGGGTCAGAGGCAGCCTGACCTCTCCCTTCTCCTCTAACGGCTGGTCTCTTTGGGCACTTTGGGCACAGAAATTTCTGAAACAATCCCAGATTGTTTCTGCTTATACATCCCTATTGCCACATTTGCAAGCAAAGCAATAACTGGGATCAATCTTAATTTCTTAATTTCCAGAAAGGACGGCTCCACTTCTTTTCCTTCCTTCTTGTAATTTTGCTTTGCTATCTAAAGCAACCTTGATTACAGTGGCTAATAGCAGGTTGTCCATCCACACGGTTATATTGAATCAGAGAGGCTTCTCCGCAGGGTTGGTGTCTTCAGTGCTGCCTTTGTGTGTAGCCAACCAACATTCAAATTACCTTTCCTTTGACCAATGCTTTTGGATCAGTGTGTCATCCCTTCCAGAGACACAACCATTACTTTTGTTCTCTACTTACACTTTCCTTCTCATTCTCATTCCTTGGCATAAGGTTAATTTTTCAGATGGTTCTTGAGTACCCCAAACAATTTTTCACATTCAAACACCAGTATGATGTCATCAGAGCCACCCAGGTGGCATTCAGTTTATAAATGCAGCCACCAATCCTAAATTGCAAGGATTCTTTCAGTCCATTTAACTGGCAGGTGGTTTTGCGTAAAAAGTAAGATATACTCAAAGATGTTTTAATTTCCAAATCAGTGATTCTCAACATTTTGGATGACTGAAGACCCGTAAGAGCTTTCGTTTATGTGAGCTAGAACTATCAATATTTATTGTTTTAGAAATTAAACTGAAACATTTCAAAATATGTATTTATTTGACTTTGCAGACCCCTTGAAAGAGCCTCAGGGACCTCCGGGGGTCCCCAGATGACACCCTGCTCTGAACAGTGAACTCTAACCCTTCTAAAATTGAAACCATGAAATAACTACATCTGAGTTCCAATAACTATCAATACACAGGAAACGGCTCAAATTAATATATTTTCCATATCTTTTTTTCAGTCAGCCACAAAAGCTAAGCTGAGAGCTAGGTTTTGAGCCAATTCCAAGAAATTCTGCCTAAGGGATAATTTGAAGGAAAGGGAGGAAATGCACAACCAAACTGGCTTGAAAACCATTCTTATCCCTGCCCTGAGCATTAAACGAGGAGGGTCGAACCAGCTAAGGCCACCGGTCACTTTCGATACCAGCTTTGAGCTTTGGATCTGGGACAGGCATACAATTCCTTCCTCGCCTGGCTTCACAGATTAATCACATACCCTCACACACACCTCCCAATCTCACCAGCAGTACCACTGGGGTTGTCATCTTCCTACACCTCTCCCCCCAAAAAAACATAACCAAAACATCAGACAACATGCTTCTAATTTCCACCTATATCGCCCTGGATAATCCCAGCAGTTTTGTCTGCCCATCAGTAAACAGTCATCAAGAATACTGCTCTAAGCCCTCAGAAAACCCATTCGGTTAGAAAAAGGAGTCATTTGCTCTGAAAAGGGCACACCGAACAATTCACAGGCCATCCTGAAATGTACAGGTCAAAGGGCTTAAGGAAATGTAATTGAAGATCACAAGATTTCCAAAGGCTTAAAGTACAGTAACTTCAGAAAGGACACACAACTTAGACATCAGCCAAAATCTAGGTCCAGACTGCCTTGTCCTTTGGATGGTGATACCCCCAGGCACATATGCCATATGTAGGGGGGGGGGGCTTGCTCTCCTGTTTGACGAGCAAGTCTTTGCAGATCAGACTGCAAAAAATGGGAAAGCCCCCTGGACAGGCACCCGCAACCACTGTCCACGCCCCCATACCCTTATTCCCCAAAGTCCACTAATGGCACAGAAGATGGAATCAGGCTCCAAGAATTAAGGAAAGGTTATGTGGGCTTCTCAGGTGGCAACGAAAGATTCTCTCCAGGTTATGCTCAAATACCTGTTGTTTTTAACAGATTCCAGAATTTAAATTTAGCACGGGAAACAAACACTTGGAGATATGGCCTGGTAGATGTTTGTTATTCTTTTTTTCTGTATATTCTGCCAAAATATGTTCAAACCATTAATAAAACTGAATTACATGCCACCAGGAGGCCAGGATAGCCCTCCTGGTGGCATGCTTTCCAGAGTATGCACACCTGCTGTGACCTGGGTAATGTCCCCTCTTCACAAGGAGACCCCCCCCCCATTCTGCAGTTTGCCAGGTGGAAGAATCCTGTTATGCTGGATGGGGGGGAAGGAGGTAGAAGGCACCCAACACCGCAGCAAGAAGATGCAGGAGACACAAATTTGAGCTGAGGGTCCAAATCAAGACATTTAAACCTTTATTTCTAGGGGCACACTTGCTTCGCCTTAGAAGGCAGGACTGCAGATGCCTGACATAAGTGCGCCAGAAGCAAACTTGGGCCAGAACCTCACCTAGACTATTCCCTTGCAGGTCCAGCCAGGGTCACAGAAGGAAAAGGCTTCCTCTGTGGGCTGCCGGTGACTTGGGTGCCTGGCAGGTACTCCCTCCTCCCTGCCCCCCTCCGGAGCAAACAAGGATGTCTTTGTCTCTCCCTTTCAAAATCCAGAAACCAGTCTCACAAGCTGCCGTGATTGCATCAGGCAGGGAGCGCGCTCTGTATCATTCTGCCTTCCTGGCTTTGAAGCGCCCCGGCCACAGTGGCGGACGGCTTTGATCCTTCCAGGGCAAAGAAGTGGGAGGAGAGCTGATAGCATCTCCTCTGCCTTGGGTACATTTGGGGCCCTGCACCCCAGGAGCAGCAGCAGCAGCAGCAGCACCCATTCCTGCTGGCCAAGTCTGGGCCAAATCAAGCTTAGACAGGAGCTCATCACCAGGCCTGGACACTCATGGCCCAACTGTGGCCAGAAAACACCTCCCCACCCGGCAGCTCTCTTTCTCTGCCCCCACCCCCACCCCCCAGCCACAGCCGAGATAGGAAGGAAGAAGCAGACTGGCCTGAGCCCAGAGTTCCAGTCTGTGGGAAGGGCAGGGAATCTTCCTCGAGAGAGGGGTGTGTGTGTGTGTGTGTGTGTGTGTGTGTGTGTGTGTGTGTGTGTATTCCAGGGTACTTTGCTCTCCTCCAGTCAGATGACTCCAGACTTCCACAATGGCTGCTGAACCAATGAACCAGGATCATAGGCCGAGCAGTGCTTTGGACTCAGGTTTGGTAAAAGTGCAAAGCTTTACCACGCAACCTGTTTTGCGATGAAACAAAGTAGCCACATTTGTTTTCAAGATGGTGCAGCTGAAGCAGGACCTGTACAGCAACCGCTCTTGCAGAGTGATGCTGGAGTCAGGATTTGTAATCCCACACATTCTGAAGCAGCTCTTCTGGACCAGACCCAAAGAACTAAATGATCATATGGAAATAAGTACTTATACACAAACTGCAGAATTACTGAAAAGCTATAGACTGAACTATGAGCAAGCTTCTCTAGTGGGACAATTGTTTCTCTACTTAGGAGCCTTTGAGCTTTAAGCTTTACATACCTGACATATTTCCATTCCTCAGTTTAGACAACAGAGCATATAAGCACAACGTGGGCTCTTCACATGCAGCCTAATATGTTCCTCACTCGTTCCTCATATCAGAGGCCTTACAAATTCCATCCGGCCTGCTGGGGAGTTCAAGGACGCCCCCTTCTGATCTCCAGGCAGAGACGGCTACTGAAACAGGAGGAGGACCAGCTCAGAAGAGTTGCAATGGGTCTGCCTGGGGAAGAAGGCAGAAATTCCCTCCAGATGCCCGACTAGAACAAGTAAACCTCTCAGCTACTCAAGGCAGATGAGGGCGGTGAGGCAAGAAGGGCTTTAATCTCTCCAACGTGGACCCAGATCATGGCAGCCATTTGCTGTTATTGCTCTGACTTCCCCACAATGGCTGAAAGCCACAGTTTTGCTCAGTCACGAGGAACCTGCTCCCCACTCCATTCCTCCCTTCCATCTCCCTCCCTCAATTCGCAGCGCCCCCTCTTACCCCCCCAGAACCACCCCCAGCAAGGGGGATGGAGCACCCAATGGTCAGACTTTGCTGTTCCACTCATGACTTGCTTTTGTTACCTTTTGAATCAAACCAACTGCCCATTGTCCAAATCAAACTTTTCCTGAAAGTACCTACCAGATGAAGCTTTAATTAAAAACCTGCAAAAGAACTGCTGGACTGCCCAAAAAAACTGGCCCTCAAAATCAGTTCTTCTCCAACAAAGAATAACAAGCCAGTATCACTCATGGAAGCCAACAACGTGGCCCATTGGAAATTCCTCACTGCTGTTCTGAGGAACAGCACTGTCTTGTGGTGCTGGGTGACAAGTCATGAGGGAGCTGGAGTGCCCCAGCCAAAGAAGCTCAGCCAATACCGGATGCCTGGATGATGCCAGCAAGCGGGGCAGAGAACCCACATGGGTTGGGCCAACAAGTTTGAAGGCCCAGGAGGACGCTCACTGACAGGCCAAGCCATTCCTTGCACCACAAGAGACCCTGCCACAAATCCCAACAAAGCCCTGGGGTCTAAACCTCATCAAGAATCAGAGCAGAAGCCAGATCTTCCCCAGAGACCTGCACCCATGAGAAGTGGGGGCAAGCAGACTGGCTACCAGAAGCGCTCCATGCTCCATCCGAAGGAGCCTTGCCCCCTCCCACCGATGGACTCCCCGGCCAGTCCAGACACAAGGAGAGAGGGAGCTGGAGGAAGGAAGCCGTGGCTGTCTGTGGTGCTTTGGGGTGGGTCAGCCTCTGGCTCAGTCCTGCCATCACGTTAGCCAGGGCCAAGGGGGGAGGCAGCCGGGAGTCCAGTTCAGTCCAGATTTTCCCCTTATCCACCTCTGACTACACTTCAAAGCGGGAGTATATTTTTGTACAGCCCAGCAAGGAGAGCAATGAGCCAGCTGCTTGCAAAGCACAGGGAGGAGTTAACCCTTTGAACGCAGGCATCTTCCACCACTGCCAACAGGGGCTAGGCTAGGGAGAAGGAAAAGAGGGAAGGCAGCTGGGGAGCCTCCAAAGAGCCACCCATGGTGTGGCTGAAAAGCCGCCAAGCTGACTGCCCACCCTGTCACTAGGCTCAAACAGCTTGGTGTGGTGCTTCAGGAATTCAGCTTGGTGACTAAGGCGAACCCCGGTTCCTGCAGAAGCCCTCTAAATAGTCAGGCTGGCTAGAGGTCCAGAGAAGGCACCTGTTCCAAGAACACTCCGTGGGTCCTGTGCTGGAGCCCTCTGGCTGTGCATTTGTTGCCCACCTCACCATCAGATGGGCGATTGGTAAAGGTTCCGGACCCCACAGAACAATCCGGGAGAGCCCCTGTGTGTCAGACTCATCTTGAGGGGAAGGGATAAGCCCTTCCAGTCCAGAGCCAAAGTGGTGCTCCACACTAACTTGTGCCAAGTGGAAGGCAGAGAGGACACAAGCAAGAGGCCTGGCAGGATTCCTCCTCCAGAAGGGGAGGTCACATCTCCATTCACTAGAAGGCCAAGGGGCGCTGGTGGTCCAGAGGAAGCCCAAGGATCATATACTATGGTCCCATTGCCCCCCACATATGCAGCCCTCTGCCCTCCACTGACAACCACACCAAGGACCAAGCTGACAGCAGAAAGTCACCCAGGAATTAGCTCATCAGTGAGAAGAAGATGCCTTTCTGGAAAGCAGAAGCGGGCAGTGCAGGGAGCAAAATCAAGGACAAAAGTTGGCACCAGAAGAACACCTCCCAACAGGTCCTGTCCTTCCTTAACTTGTGGAACTGGAGAGCTGAGAGAGGCCACTTCCCACCAACTATCTGTACCGTACTCAGAAATTCCTTGTCTGCATTCTGGGGCCACGGGGAACAGGGACCATCCCCTTCAGTGTAACATTCTTTTGGCCTTTTGAAGTGCACTGCATTTTCCCCTCGGTCTTGTCTTCCAAGGCTAAGCATGGCCGGCTCCTTCACTCTCCCTTCACAGGTCTATTTCTAATCCCCTGCTCTTCTTCTCTGCCTTTCGCTAAACTGGGGGCAGTTTGCCCAATTCTTTTTACAGCATGACATCCAGAACTTGAACTGTGGTCTAATCAAAGCAGAAATGATTGCTATTGTTGTTATTATTATTAAAATGATTTATTCCCACCTCAATTTGGGGGAAATCCAGCTGATTTTAGAGATATTAAAACATAAAAGTAATATTAGATTGCAAGAATAATCATCAAAATCTATCAATTAGTATAGGTACAGTTGTTTCCACAGCTGGTATTACTTCCCATTATTTGGAAACCAAACTTAAGGTTGTTGCTGTTATGGTTGCACAATTGTTAAAAGGTCAAATAGTCCCAATCCAGAATATGCCTCTGTCCCCAGCGCACTGGCCCCAGAATTTGCAAATCTATTCACACCATTAGGGAAACAGATCCCACACCCATGCCCTCAGGGCTCGGCTTAATTAAGAGGTTTGTGCAGCTCATGGACCAGATACTCATCCTTGTGAAAGGGGTAACACTCCCCTCCTCCCCTGCCCACTACTGAAGGGAGCAAAAATGCCATTGAGCTGTCCTGGGATGTTTACATCTATCAGATGGCTGTAGGTGGCTCTGGGGTAAGGTTCAGGCATCAGGTGCAGCACCACTCTAGGCACAAACTTCCCAGAACCCCTGTGCTCAGGATGCTTATCACTTCGGTCCATAAGGAAACCATTTTGACAAGACTTATCCAGCACCCCACCCACCCACGTGTGGAGTAACAGTGCATCCAGTAGCTTCAAAGATTCAAGGTGAAGAACTTTAGAAATCCCTGCCTTTGGATACAATCCCAGAAAAGGTGTCCTACAATTACAGCTGCATCCATAATGTGTGCTCTGGATCTCCCAGCGAAGATGCTGCCACAGTAGATCTGCCTCACCGCTACTGGCACAGCTGGCTCTTTTACTAGGCATTGCCCATCCTTCTGTCCCGAAGGGCAGCTTACCCCATCCTCTTAACTTCTACCACCACCAATGCACCCTTTGAGAAACAAAAGGCTCAACTCAACAATCTCACTTGTGGAATCATCACAAGCCCCAGTGTGAAGCTCATGCTGCTACTGTGACAGAATATCCCACTTCACGTAGCCAACAAGAATGTGAAAAGCCGCCTTCTCTCACACACATCAGCCAGAGCACTCAGATCAGTGTCGGAGACCTGTCTGAGCGGCTTCGTCATCAGAACCAATGGAAATGGTGACAAGAAGCCAGGAGGAGGGTGAGGGTGATGGGAGGCAGCACCCTGCACCCCAAATCTGAAGCACCATTCACAGGAGGCACCCAGGCACTTTCCCCCTTCATTCTCTCCTGCTCTGCAATGCTCCCCACTTGAATCTTGGAATTGTACCGTTGGCTGCCCTCTTTGGCACTGCAGATGATCAGAGCTCTGAGATTGCTCTGTACGTCAGTAGCATTGACCAAAATTATCATTTATGTAGGGAATGAAAATGACACTAGGATACCTGGCCCACAGCTAAAAAGTGGGAAGGAGAGACACACACACTACAGAGTCTAGGTGACACTGGGTTTTTCTATGACTTCCTGAGCCACAAATCCTGACTTGCAAACAGCAATGGTCGGGTTCACCCAGTGTATAAGCCAAAGCCAAACCAACAACATTTTGGCTTCGCTAAAGGGAACTCTGAAGCATGTGCCCAGCCATGTTTCAATGCTCCTACTCCATAACAAGCTGATGGAAAGCTGAAATTAAATTTTCTCAATATCTCTCCTACCTCACAGCTGCTGGGGAAAAGAAGATGGATGACTTCCCAATTCAAGCCACCCTGAGCCTCTTAGAGCAGAAAAAGGTGCCCCCTCTCCTACCCCACACCAGGAGGGGGTCTCTTCCCTGGCACCTCAATTAGAGCAGCCAGGACTCCTGCTGTGCTGCCAGCCACCTTCCTTGTGTCGATGCCTCTTTAAGGGCAGCCTCCATCTCCTGGGTGTCCTCAGTAAGAGTCTGGCCTAGTGTGCAGACCTCTGCCCTCAGAGTAGGCCTAATTAGCCCCAACATTCGCCTGTGCAACTGATGAAGCCTCTGCTCAAGCGGTCAGAAACATCAGCCCCTTTCTTAACCAAGCCCAAAGCTGCAGCCCCTACAGAAGGGGCCCTCTGAAAAACCCCAGACTAGATTTAGGCAGCCGTGTTACTACAACGCAGAGGGGCTAATCTCAGGCCTTACTACCCCACTGTATTCAAACACAGCCGCATTCGCATTTGTAGAGGACATATAGTTTTGAGAAAGCCTCTTGCCTTATTTTCATTCCTGCCTCGGCTTCCATTTTCCACAGTGCCCAAAATAAACAATGTATCCACAAAGGCTTCAAGATGAAAGAAAGAACTTCAGTTACAGTATAAAGAAGTACAGGCTGGAGTGATCTGAGGCTGCCTATAAATATGCAAGATCAAAGCTGGTCCTGTTAAATTAAAAATGCTGTCACACAGATAGGAACTAGCCTCTAGCACTGCCAGCTTCAACATGTGAGCCTCTGATCTGAGGCAGAGAGAAAAAAAAGGGGGGGAGGCTGAGCACCCCTAGAAGCTGCATTCACCAAAAGCAAAGGAGGAGGAGGAGGAAAAAGGTTCACCAGTAGCAGCCGAGTTTTAATAAGGCGATTACACGTTTTTCATGCAAATTGTTAGAACTAACCGGCAGCCTCTGGGCTCTGCGGGGATACTGCAGGGAAACACTTCTTCCTAATCCAGCACCTCTCAAAACTGGAGCAGCCCTGATGAAGCAGTCTCTGCGCAGTAACTTCCACCGCAAACCTTTCCTCTACAGATCTGACTTCAACACACCACACACACACAGAGAGCCCATGTTTCCTACTCCCAGGGGAAAAGGTTGATCACGCGAGGGCAAATGTTGCCCATCATCGCTCGGGAGCGGGAATCGTCACCGCATCACCGCTTACATCCTGGGCCGTCCCCAGCGCGCCTCGCTTCTCTGGAATGGAGCCCACAAACACACACGCAACTCCCGGGTTCCTAACCCGAAGCCCACGTTCAGCCAGGATGGCTATCCGTGCAGAGCAGCAACCACCCGCGGCCTGCCCGCGGTCTTACGCAGCCACACTGGCCCCATCTTCTGGGTTCCGGACTCCCGAAGGCGATCCGTGGCTCAAAGGGGGGTCCCAAAGCGGCCTCTTCAGCCCACCCGCGGTTAAAGAGCAGCGGCAGCCCCCGCGATCCCGTTCAGGCAGAGGAGCTGCCTTCCTGGATCGGGCTCCAGGGCTCCGGCCAGACCCCCGGGGAGGGCCGAGCGAGCCGGGACCGTTGCTCCAGGGCAGCCTGCGCGACCCTCGGGGGTCCAAGAACCGCCTTCTCCCGAAACGCCCCAAGTCGGCGGAAAGCGCCGGGGCGGTCGCCGAGGAGCTGTCGTTCCTGCCCGGGCGCCACGCGGACTCCGGGCCTGCGCGCTCTGCAGATGCTCAGAGGCCGCCGCCGTCCCACCCAAAGCCGTTTTGCGCCGCCGCCGCTCACCTGCACGATCTCGCCCTCGGCGCTGAGCGTGGCCCCGGCGCGGGAGAAGCGGCCCTGCAGCCCCGTGGTGTAAGTGGTGTAGTCGCCGCCGGGGCTGGACTCGAAGAGCACCACCTCCACGAAGGCCGCCTCCCGGCCCAGCGCCGCCGCCGCCGCCGCCGCCGCCAGCGCCACCACCAGCAGCGGCCCCGGGCCCGGCCTNGGCCCGGCCTCATCGCGCCGGCGGGCCCCCCGCGCCGGCCCCGGGCAGCGGTGGCGAGGGGGGCGCCAGGCCGGGATCGCGCATCGCTCCGCAGGTGCCGCCGGGCCTCTCTACGCCGCCGGGCGGCTTCTCCTCCTGCCCGGCCTCCGCCTCGGCCTCGCGTCGTCTCCCGGCGGCGGCGGGGCGGCGGGCTGGCGGCAGCTCCCTCCTCCTCCTCCTCCTCCTCCTCCCGGCCCAGCCGCCGCGTCCCTTTCATCCGCTCCACGTGACGGGGCTGCGCTATCCCCGCCTCCGGCCGGGCCCGACCCGCCTCGCCGCCGCCCCCTGGCCGGGCAGCGCGGGACCTGGCGAGTAGCTTCGTCTGGGCGGGGCTGGGGGACCCGAAGCTTCGGCCGGCCCGAAAAGTGTGAACGTGGGGGTTGCGTCTCCCGGCAGGGCTCCTCCGGAGTGAGGGGGATCTGGCGGTGGAAACCCAGCTTGCAGCCGGCGGCCGATGGCTGCCTAGAAAGCCGGGCAGGAAGGCAGTTTTCGGGGCAGCGCCTCCTGGCCTCGCCTCGCCGCCTCCTGCCAAAGGGCTCCGGTCTGAGCGGTAGCGTCAGCGTTGGAGGAGACCCCCGGTCTTCTTCCGCAATTGGAGAGAGAGAGGGGGGGGGGAGCTTGCTCGCCGCAGGGCGCGGCCCCGTGGACATTCCAGGGGAGCCACTTCAAGGGTTTGGAATATAGAGAAAACGGGGAGCGGGGAGCCCAGAAAGGGATGGAGCCGTCCTGGCGGGCGGCCTTTCTTGACCGGTTTGCCCAGCGGCCGACTTAAGCGCGGAACGGGGGCCCGGTGTGGTTCTCCGCTCTTAGCAGCGGAATTTGCAGGCTCCCGGAGCGGCCCCTCGCGGCGCCCCTTATCCGCCAGCAGGCGGGACACCGGGCTGCAGACTTCCTGAGACCGAGGGCCCCGGAGGCGGAAGTCCAGCGCCGGACCCGCAGACTCCTCCGGGCGCCCGAGGAGCGCTGGCCTCTGCGCCATCAAACCCAAAGGAAGTCGAGGGGAAGAAAGGTCTGCGGGCGGCTTGTGACCTTACACCAATTCGGTTCGCCCCCCCCCCGGAGTCCTCTGCTCCCTCTGCTGGTGGCTGAAAATCGAGGCCTGCCGGCGGAGAAGCCGCTCAGGTTGCGCGTCGGATACGGCCCTGTCACCCTCTTGTTCTGCCCCCTTCCCTCGGGCGGCTCTGTAGGCTCCCGCCCGGAGTACCTTAAAACGGGGCGGGCTGTAAATACGTGGAGGAAATATCAGACAGATAGGCGGATAACCTACCAGGGAGCAACGGCTCTTTCTAGAGAAGCCGGGTAGTGCCCGTGCGGCGGTGCCCGCCAAGGGAAGTGCGATTAGTGGTGTTCAACTGCTTCAAGCAACCAGCGTTGGCTGCAACGTATCTTCTGCTCTGGGGCTGCAAGATTCCCCGGTCCGTTTAGATTTTGCATGTTTGAAAATCTTCTTTGAAACACCGTAAGTGGCGGGTCAAGTATAGCAAACTAGAGTTCATAGGTGTTTTCAATAAAATAGTCTGAAAACGCTGGATTAGAATTTAGAGGAATCGCTGCTTTTGAAGCGGGGACTACTCTCCAAGGATCCGCCGTCCATTTCAGACAAAGCGGGTCTCCGATGGCCGAGGGCCAGAAACTGGCGACCGCCAAGGCTTAAGGCCCCTGCCGATCATCTCTCGCTCGCCCGCCCGCCCGTCGGAAGCTTCTGCCGGCGCCCACCCACCGCAGCAAGGGCTGACCAAGCGCCCCCGACTCGTGCCTGCTGCCTCCCCCAGGGCGCGAACTGCGGGCTCAGTCTGAGTCACGGCCCGCACAAGGCCGCGACCGGGCAGACATCCTGCTATGACGGAAGCCGTCCAACAGCGCTCTCGGGCAGCGGCAGGGTGACGGCCGGCAGAGATCGGGGCGGGGAGCCCGCCTGCAGCTGCCACTTCCAAGTTCAGCGGCTGCGCCCGCGAGGGACACGTAGCTGCGCTCTTCACTGCGCTGCACTTTCCTTCACGCGGCTAATTTGGGGTTCTCCTTCTCGCTATACATCCGGAGATGCGAAATGTCCCCGGTGCGTAACGAACTGCAATTCCCCGGACTAAGCCCGGTCGCTTCGCTGGCTACAGGGAACCCCGCCCAATCAGGATGTACGGAGGCCGCCGCTTCCTCGAAGGAACCGGTTCCGCGGGACCCGCCCGAGCCCAGCTCGACGCAACCGAGGGCGGAAGGAAAGCCTCGCCCGCACCGACGAACAAAGGCCCCCCCTTCCGCCCGCGTCGTTCTGCGGCTGCGCGGGTGCGGGCGGCCAGCGTGGCGCTCGGCGAAAGCCAGAGGCTTGCGTCAGGCGCCTCTGACGCAATCGCGTCCCGCCCCTGCCTGCCAAAGGCCAATCGGCAAGCGCCCCCGTGGGGGTGTCTCCTGGCGCCAGCCAATCAGGGATAGCCACGACGTGAGATATGCGCGGAAGCCGCGGAGGACCGCAAGCGCAGACGGCTCCACGCACCGTCCGAGCCGGTCGTTTCGGGGGCCCGTCGGTCGTGGAGGAGGAGGCCGAGGCTGAGGCCGCCGCCGGGATGGCTCCGCTGCCGGGCCCTGCAGCGCCGCCGCGGCTCCTCCTGCTGCCGGCCGCATCGACGGCCCCGCCGGCTGCCCCAGGGGCCCCCTCGCCTTCCCCGCCGCCCCGTAAGCGGCAGCGCCTGGCGCACCTCAGCCCGGAAGAGAAGGCCCTGCGCCGGTGAGGCCGCGACCGGGGGACCCTGCGCGGCGCGGCGCGATCGGGGACGCGGACGCCCCTCACCGCCTCTCTCGTCTCCCTTCCAGGAAGCTGAAGAACCGCGTGGCGGCGCAGAGCGCGCGCGACCGCAAGAAGGCGCGCATGGGCGAGCTGGAGCGGCAGGCCGTCGAGCTGGAGGCCGAGGTAGGGCGGGCGGGCGGGCGGCGCGGCGGGGCCCCGGGCGGGGAAGGGAAGGGAGGGCTGGTGGCCGGGCGGGCGCCCCCTCACCGCTTCTGTCTCGCAGAACCAGAAGCTGCTGGCCGAGAACCGGCGGCTGCGGGAGCGCGCGCAGAGCTTGTCCCGCGAGAACCACGATCTGCGCCTCCGTCTCGGACTTCCCGCGCTTAAGGTGAGGGTCGGCAGGCTGGCGGGGGGGGCTCGGCGCCCGCCTCGGCCCTTCTCACCCTGGACCCTTCCCCGCAGGTGGAATCGCAGGAGGAGACAGCGAGCATCGCCCCTGGAGGGGCAGAGACCGGGTCCTCTGAGTCCGCAGCACTTAGACTACGTGTTCCTCCGCAGCAGGGACAGGCCCAGCAGTCTTCTGCCTCCACGGTGGGGGAGAGGAGGAGGAGGAAGAGGAGGAAGGGTCAGTTGGTAGCCTCCCTCTGGGCACAGACAGCCTGGCTTCTTCAGATGCTGAGGTGGGTAAAAGTAGCCCTTCTTGTTTCATGTGCGGCTAGGTGCAAATGTCGGGGGGGGGGGGTTTCTCTGGATCACCTGTCCTAACTGGCAAAATTGTGTGTGTGTGTGTGTGTGTGTGTGTGTGTGTCTTCTCTTACAGTCTGATCTCCTCTTGGGCATTTTGGACAGTCTGGATCCAGACATGTTCCTGCACTGCAGCAGCTCCCAGGCAACTTTCTTTGAGAAGCTGCAGCAGGAAATGTGTGGAGAAGCAGCTGTTCCCTTACCAGCCTCCACCAGTCCCTCCTTGGGGCCTGCGCCACTCAAGCTGGATGCCATTAATGAACTGATCCGCTCTGATCATGAGTACACCAAGCCATTCTTCCTGGAGATCATATCAGAAGCAGCCACCCAGAACGGTGCACTCATGGAGGAAGTGGTGGCTTCTCCTCCCCTGCAGGCCCCTGTCTCTGTGAAGGAGGAGCCTGCAGACACGCTTTTGCCTGACCTGGGCCTCTCCCACCTGCTCTCCTCAGACCAGAGGCCTCCCTTGCTGCTGGATGCAGCTAGTGACTCAGGCTACGAAGGGTCACCCTCCCCGTTCAGTGACCTGTCCTCTCCCGTGGACACTGATTGCAGCTGGGAGGAGGCCTTTGCCAAGGAGCTCTTTCCTCAGCTGATCAGTGTGTGATACCTGCTTAGCTTCTGGACAGCCGTCAGATGGACAATCGTTTTGGAAGAATGTTCTTCTTGAAAGTGTTCCATCAGATTCCTAAGTATTGCTTCTTTGTTTTGTATGCGCCTCTGTCTGGCACCTGCCTCATCAAGGAGTTCCATAGCCCTTCCAAGAAATGAAATTGCCAGTCAAGTTAGCTTTGTTGGAAAGAAAGAAAGAAGAGATCCTGCTTAGGGAGTAATTGCTAATCACTCTCAGTAGCTTCTCCTCAATGTGTAAATAAAGGCGGTGAGGCGGGGCGAGATATGTAAATATTACACATACTGCTTTTTTTGAAAGTTATTTTCCTGCAGCATATTTAAACTGTTGCTGTAATTAAAATGCAGAGCAAGTGATATCTTTTTCCTACCTTTGTACTAAAGTGGGAGGGAGGTAACAGCAGAAGATTCAGAAAGAGAGTGAAATGGATTGGTCCCTTTAAGGTTCTACACAAACTCTGGCATTCATATTAATTTGGCAGACTAGTTCAACTTAGCCATCCGAGTATAAACTATTACTTGAAACAGGGCAATATAAATCGGTGGGTGTGCAAAATTTAGGGAAGGTTTAAAACCTTGGCCAGCCATCACACAAAAGTAACAGCTGTGAAAATGCTACAACATACAAAGTTTTCTTCTTCCTATCTTCCTACTACTAGCTCCGGAGTGATATATATATAGGGGTTGTCTCTCTCTGAATTCTTGCTGTCCAATTGCATACTTGGATGTCCTTACAAAGTGGGAAGTGGTTCAATTCTGCCCTGATGGAATGCTAGCAACAGGCCTGGGTTGACCGAACATTGTGGATGCAGGGAGGAAACTTCTCATTTGAACCAGGGAACCATAGGAAGCACCCAGCTAAAGTTTCCACAAGCTGAGCAGTAGAAGGCTACAGTGCAAAGCTGTCATCCCTGCATGAGGGCTGTGTGGCATTTATCTCTGCATAGGTGTGGAGAAGAGTTAGCTGAAATCATTTTGGGATTTCCACAGAGGTCTTCCTGTGTGTAACTACTCCTTGGCTATAGGCTGTGTAAAATGCTCAATTCACTCAGACTTTCTGAAAGTGTCTGGCAAGCTTCCCCTTTCAAGGCCCCTTCCTCATCATGGTGTGCAGGCAGAATGATGTAATGATCTTAGTATTACTTGTTTGCGAGAGCTTGCCTCAATTGCCATGTATAACAGCCAAGGACTTGCTGCCCATCATTATCTGACAGTAATTTAGCATACCAGTTCATTGCAAGGAGCCTTTTGCCACTAGTACTGTGCTATGAGCTAACAAATCAGTAAGCCAGAGCCTGAGGGCAACATACTTCTATCACCAATGGTACAATATTGTGGATTGACCTTGAATGTTTACAAGAATGGGACATCTGGTACATTCCCTGATACAGAAGGCTAAACCCTGGCAGCTTACAGTGTGTCAACACAGATCCAGCAGAGGTCAAAGGGATTTTGCAGCCTCAAAAGTAATCTTAATAGCGTTCAACTATGTAAAGCACTGAGTTGAAATGATTACAGCAAGGTAAAAGTAGTGATAAATGTTTAGTACTTGTTAGCAATGTACAGCCTTTTACAATTTTTTTTTAAAAAGTTTATTGACGTACAAATTGTGACTTGGCCCAATGGCAGACCACAATGCAGTGTTGCTGGTTTCTATATTAACTATCCAACAAAAACACTCCCAGAATTTCCATCTTTAAGCAATTCTTGTTCAACAAATGGGTGCCCATCTATCCCTCAAAAAATTTACATTTTTGTATATATTTGAAAAGCAGTTTTTTTTTAAATTGCTCCGAGAGTGAGAGTGGGTAATTTCAAGGCCAATCCAACAATTGGGGAATGTTACTTTATGTACAGCTGAAGGAACAGACATCCTTTGATCCTTTCTTACAGCAGAGCAAAATCTAACCAACATTAACCTGAAACAGCTCTGATAAAAAAAATCGGATTCCTTGGATTTTGTAGGATACAGGCAAAGCCAATTCCCATCCTATGCTTGCTTGGCTCTCCCTGGCACCCGGCATGTGCTGGTTTCTGATCTCAGCACATAGAAAGGCTGTCTGGCTCCTTCCCTAACTGAGATTACAAGTTTTTAGAGAGACGTGGGCCTGCTAATCAACAAACAGAAGAGAGGCACAAAGGCTTTTGCTAAATGAAAAGGTTACTTAAAAGCAGAGGCAACTTCACAAAGTAGCAATATAAAGAATTGAGTTGTAAACATCAGAATAGATTTGCTGAGATCTGCCCAATGTCAAGTTAAAAAAAAGATTATTAGCTATGGAGGCCAATACATTTTGGGACCAAAAAAGAATCTGCAGAAAATTGAAAACAGAACCCAAGATGCACAAGCTACTTCCTTCACAAGGAAAAAAAATCAACCAAGGTTGCCTTTCCTGGTTTTCTCACAGGCAGTGTGTAAAGCTTGAGCTTTTCCTAGAAAAACTATTTCCTATACATAAAAATTCCTGCAATAATTTTCATTTACAGTGGCGCTGCAAGAATTTCAGAGCGCTAGCTGCCAATTGGCTCCTTGAACACACAAGAAGCTAAAAAGTGCATAATCTGACAGCTTAGGCAGTCTGATGTTTAACTGGCACATTATCTACCGACAGCTGTGCTCAGCTAGGTTGCCACAACCATGATCTATTTCCCTCAGTGAGATCCTTGAGGGAGGAACCACAGGGCACAGAGGACTTTTGCCAATGTGAACCACTCCTGGATCAACGGTTCACATGCTCTGTTCATACAACAGTCTGCAAGTCAATGCCGCCAACTAATCTGGAGTTGGTGAAGAAGGATCTGTAATTCCCATGCCTGAATAGACATTTCTTGCCAATAGCTAGAACAGGGGAACTTCCGGTTTGCCTACTCGGCTCGAACTTTGAATGGCTGCAGCAGAAATGAATGTTGTAGTTGTCACAAACAATCAAGTTTCTTAATCAAAAAGACCCAGACTCTATACTGGTGCTCCGAGAAAACAAGGCTTACGGCTTACTGAGCATAAAGGATGGGACATAAGGTTTGGCATCTCACTGTGTAAAAAGATGACAAGGTGCACACAAAGGACCAGCCAGCTTATTTTCAGGAACCCCAAGTGCCTTCCCCACATCCTAGATTTATAACTAAGCCCCTGATTCCTATAGAATGGCACCTTTCAATCTGTGCAGTGTCTCTGCTTGCCCAGCTTGCTTCTTTCCCTTCTTCTACAACTCCATCTCTTCTTCCGCAGGCCCACCAGATCCAACCGCCCCAAACTGGGCCAAGGGCATTTCTGCTGGCTGAGACTCTGTCAGGAATTTGTCTGTCTGTGAGGGAAAGGCAGCTTCCAGGGCTGCTAGCTTTCCAAGGCGTCTTTCTGTGACCAATGGCTTGTAGCTCTTAATATACGCCAAACCTTCTTTTTCGGGGAGGAATTCAGGGAGAGGCTTCCAAAGCACCAGCTCCATTGATGGACGGCTCCTGAGGGAGAGAAAGCACCAGGGTCAAGATCAATCTGAAGTGCAGCCCTTGCCCACGCTGCTCCAGGTCTCTCCTCTGGGGCAGGGGTGCTGCCACACCCAAGGGGGCAGCTGGATAAGATGGCTGGGATTCAATTCCCCCCTTCCCTGCTGGAGCCACTGCTAGACGTACATGGACTCAATTATTTTCTTGGTCAAGATTCCTTCGTAGTCCTGTTTCAGTCCGGTTTGCAGCGTAGGGGAAAGGACCAGGGTGGGCAGGTGGCCCTCGGGCCGGCCTGCAAGTCCCTCCTCCTCCTCCTCCTCCTCCTCCTCCTCCTCCTCTTCCTCGGTGATCCTGGCGGGGAAAGGAGGAAGCCCCGTGAGAGGGGCGCGGGTGGAGGGCGGCCTCTACGGCCGGCGGGCGGGCGGGCGGGCGGCTCACCTGTCCTCGATCTCCTGCAGCCTCCGACGGGCAGCCTCGCACTGCTGCTCCGGCTCGACCTGTTCCATTTCCTCGCAGGGCGCTTCCGGCGGGCCGGGGGTCGCCTCCGCGCAGCACAGCCACCCCGCCCCCCCCGCCGCCTTCTTGCCCGGGGGGCACCTGGGGAGGAAACAGCGAACAGGCTGGCACCCGGCGCCGCGGCGGACACCCGGCCGGCCTGCCTGCCTGCCTCGGGCCCGGCCCCGCTCACCCCTCCGGCTCTTCCTCCATCCGGTGCTTCCTCCAGGCGCGCGGCGGGGCTCCGGCCGGGCTGACCGACGAGGCCCGCGCGCCGAGGGGAGGCCTGGCCGGCCCCAGGGCGGCGAGGCGGCGGGCGCGGGGCCGCGGGGACAGCGGCGGCGGCGGCGGCGGGAAGGCGCTGGGCAGCGGCCCGGAGGCCATGGCGGGGCCGGCCGCTCCGCTCGCGGTTGGTGTGGGGCGCCGCCGCCAGGCCGCCGGGCGGGCTCGGGCACGCGACTCTGGCGCGCCGCAGACGCCGGCAGGTGACGGACGCGCGCGCGAGGCTTGCCGGGAATCGTAGGCGCTGCGCGGGCCGGGCGGCAGAGGCGGGGCGGGGGGCGGGGGCCGGCATAAAGCGCGCTGCTCTCCGGGCTGGCCGCGTGCAGTCCCGGAGGCGAGCATGGAGCGGCAGCCGCTGATCAGCGGGGCCGGAGCCCGCCGGAGTCCCGGGCGCCAGGTGAGGAGCCGGCGCGCCGCTTACTTGCTTTCCGACCGGCCCGAGGAGCTCCGTTGCTGGGAGAGCCTCCCTCTCCTTTGCCTGCGGGTTGCCGGGAGCTTCCAGCCCGGTTTTCCGGCATCGGAGCCGTCCTGCGGCCGCAGCATTGGCGTTTCGGGCGACCGGCAGCCAAGACCTAACCGAGGCTGGGGGCTTTTTGGAGAGCGGTGGGGTGGATTCAGTCAAAGGTGCCCGCTCTGTCCTTTCATTTATTTGATTTTTAGCTCGCCTTTTGACTTTGTAAGTAACTCAAGGCATTGAACATACCTAATACTCCTCGCTCCTCTTTTCCCCGCCACAACAACCCCGTGAGGTGGTTTGGGGCTGAGAGAGAGGGACTATCCCAACATCACCCAGCCGCCTTTCATGGCTAAGATAAGATCGGTCTCCCGGTTTCTAGACCAGCACCTTCATCACTGGCTGGGCACCGACAGCCTAAGTGCTGAGCTTCTCTTTGAGACCTAGGTAGATGCCATCCCATTTGGCACCAGCGTTAGCCCGGCGTAGCCATGTGCTTTGCGAAGAAATGCTTCCCTTTATCTGGGATCTCTCCTGGTCTTCTTCTCCTGGGTGACACCCCCCCCCCCCGGATTCTCCAATCTGAACGAGGGAAAGAAAAGTCAGTGTATGGCATTTTCCCAGCGTAGGTATATTTCTTCTCTCTCTCTCTCTCTCTCTCTCTCTCTCTCTCTCTCTCTCTCTCTCTCTCCTCTCTCTCTCTCTCTCTCTCTCTCTCTCTCTGTGTGTGTGTGTGTGTTTCTTCGGAGCAGCTGATGCTTTGGGATTTTCTAAGGGGGAATAGCCCTAACTGCCACCTTCTTAGCTGGGCTTTTATCCTTTGAAAAATATTCTAGCTGGTTGGTAAAAGGGAGGTTGCCTCCACCTCCTGCTCTGACTGCCATCCAAGAACTCTCCCAGTAGCCAAAGAAGGTTCCCACACATGTGAAAAGGCGAGAGTTGTGAATGTCCAACTTTTAATCTAGACTGATCCAGGAGGAGAGCTGCAATGGGAAGGAGTGTGAAGATTGCTGCTGAGTAGGGAAAGAATAACTGCAAAGAGCGTGAGAAGAAATAACAGCATAATCTTCTTCCACTTGTGTTTATTTGTTATGTTTTGACTTCTCTTATTTGTTATTTAGCAGTTAATAATGTATCAAAAAGTTACTTATTGGCTTTCTACTTCCTATCTCAGATCTGAGGCTGTTACTGATGGTCCACCCACAGGCTGTGATTTCCTTCTCATGATGCGTCTTCCTAGGCTGGGGAAAACAATGGCTCAGATTTTTAAAAATTTGGGACTTCCTCTTTCTGTAGCTTCCATCCTGGACCCTCCTTGGCACCGTGTGTGCAGCTGGCATTGGAGGGACCTTTCAGTATGGATACAACGTTTCTCTCATCAGTGCCCCCACTCAGGTAAGACCTCCAAGGGCTGTTTGTGGCTGCTCTGCTGTAGATTCTTCTGTTCACACTTTCCCGATTCAGAGGAAGCAGGGTGGAAGGGTGCATGAACCAGCATAGACTTCCAATAGTCCATGATTTATTTGAAAAAGGCTCCACGTCCAGCTGGGCTGAAAATGTGACATTTGTTGCTGAGACATATTGTCCCAGAAGGCCTGGGCGCAAATATCTGCCACATTGTCAAGAATACTGTGTGGGCATCACTGGTGGAGCAATTGCACCGCCAGTTGCTGTGGTATCCCATCCTGGTTCATCTAGCCATTTTGGGGGAGAAATGCAAGCCATGGGATGCCATCCTTTCCTGGAGTAACACCTACTCCCCCAGCCCCAGCACTGTTTGAGAAGCCTCCCTGGAGTAAAGATCAGAGCAGGCTGGTAGTTCTTCCGTGTGTGCTGGCAACAAAGCCAAACGGGTCTGGTGCCAAGGCAGCTGACTCTTCCTGCCTCAGCTGATTCTCTCACTAATTAAACTGTGCAAGATTGATTTAATGCAGTGTTTTATGCTTCCTAAGACAATTAAAAAAAAATAACTGTGGAGGAGCAATAGCATGTGCTAAACACATGCGTATGCAAAGGTCACACTGAGATGGAGACTGAGAGGCTGAGATTCAGTTCAGATCAATCAGAATACAGCTGGAAGGGACCTTGGAAGTCTTCTTGTCCAACCCTCTGCTCAAGCAGGAGACCCTGTGCCATTTCAGATAGGTGGCTAATAAACAGATAATTCACAAAACAGCATTGAACTCCGGAGGCTGCCTTAGGGCTCTTTCTGTGAGACGCATCTAGGAAGCCCAGAAAATGCAGGAATAGGGATGAGTAATTTCCTCTGAAAGAGGACCTCTGCAGACAGGACCCCTGGAGGAGGTGGAGCAGTCCATGGCCATTCTCTACCCACCGGGCGCATGGCGTGCTGAATCCTTTAGTGGCAGCTGACTGTTCCCTGAATGTGTGCTTGCAGCCATCTCTAGCCCAGTGTTTCTCAACCTTGGCCATTATAGAATGTGGGGACTCCAACTCCCAGAATTTCCCAGCCAGCATGTGGGGCATGTCAGAGGGTTAGGTCTCCAAGATGGGGAAGGAAGTGAAGAGGCGGATTCCTAGCAACTAATTTAGCTTTTTTCTGGCAAGAGAGTTTCTGGCTGATCTGCTTCTGGTTGAGGGGATGTGTGTCCCCCGGCAGCCTCTGCCAAAGACTCTTACCTGAGGAAGCTGAAATGCTGCCCCATACTGGCGATGGGGAGTAGGCAGCACCACCATTAACCATCCTCCACATTATTCTCCCTTTGGGTTTTCAGCACATCCATAAGTTCCTCAATGACACCTGGCAGAGCCGTTACCAGACCAAGCTGAGTTCCAACATGCTGACTCTTCTCTGGTCCACCATTGCTTCCATTTTTTCCCTAGGCGGGTTCTTTGGGGCTCACCTTGGGAGCGTCCTGGCTGGTTGGCTGGGCAGGTGAGCGTAATCGTTCCTAGAGGCGTGCTTCCTTTCCTCCTCCAAAGAGTTGAAGGAAGTGGACAGGCCCTGTCTGTCCTTTGTCTTTGTCAGTGAGCCAGGGCCTGGCCTGACTTGGCAGTCCCTGTGATGGGAGGGAAGAGGCACTGCAGGGATGGCTTGCATGCTGTGGCTGGAGGGGAGGGGAGCCTGAGCAAACAGTAGCCATGCACCAGCCTCTGCAGGGAGGAAATGTTTCCTGTTTGGAAACCCCGAGTCGCCACCCACTTCTCCTGCTGTCCGACTGATCTTCTCACAGCCCTCATGCGCCAAGACCTGCTCCGGGGTCTCCTCAGTTCCCTTCTTCAGCAGCTCAATTTTTCTGACTCCCTCCTCCTTTGGCAGGAAAGGAGCTCTGCTGATGAATAACCTCCTTGCCTTCTTTGCTGCTACCTTGATGGGCGCCAGCTTCCCAACGGGACTCTTTGAATTGCTGATTGTTGGGAGATTTCTGATTGGAATGAATACAGGTAAAGCATTGGATTTTGTCTCTGGAAAACTGCAACCAAGGTCCATCCATGGTTAATGAATCAGGTGCTTCCTGCGAGAGACCGACCTGCACCAGGTGTGCAGTTCATGGGGGACAGCGCCGCTTTCCTTCAGGTCCTTTCGGAAATGTATGGGAGAAAACCTGCTCCCGAGACCCTCTTCTGTTTTCAGGCATTGGACTCTGTGTGCAGCCTCTCTATATAGGTGAAGCTGCCCCCAGACACCTCCGAGGGGCCGTGGCAATGGGCAGTTCCATCTTCCTGACAGGAGGTATTTTGACCGGGCAAGTGATGGGTCTAAGGTGAGTGTCGAATTCTGGGTCACGGGGGCCCCAGCGTGGGGGACAGCTGGCTGCCTAGGGGCCTGAAGAGCTGCCTTTGTGCTGCTTCCCACAGGGAGCTGCTGGGGGGAGAGGAATGGTGGCCCTTCCTGCTCTCCAGCTGTTGCCTGCCTGCCATCATCCAACTCCTGAGCCTTCCCTGGTTTCCAGAGAGTCCCCGTTTCACATTACTGGACCGAGGGGACGAGGGCCAATGCGTCAAAGGTAGAGTGGGCTGTGGCAGCTCTTTGGCAGCCGTGCTTCCTGAACCTCCCAGGAGGAACTGGGCATATCCTCTCAGGCCAGGGAGCGGCTCCAAGCCAGCAGCTCCTTCTGCTCACTGGGGTTTTAGCCAGAAAGAAATGCTCTCAAATCTTGCCCTTGTCTACGGGTGGGAGAGCTCTGGGCAAATCCATCCACATCCCCCTCAGTAGAGCCACAGCCAGGAAAGGAGAGTGGCGGCCATTAAGGGTGAACCCGGTCAGAGGTGGGCCAGTCACTTCGCCTCCTGCTGGACCTGCCAAATGGTCTCAGGCGGGCCTGAACCCCATTTTCCTCCCAGCACTGAAGCGCTTCCACAGCCCTCTGCACTACCAGAAGGAGCTAGAGGACATCCAGAGAGAGAACTTTGCCCTCGGAGGAGAGAAGGCGAAGAAGCCCTGGGAGCTCTTTGCTGACCGTAGCATCCGCTGGCAGCTGATTGCAGTCATCTGTCTGGCCATGGGCCAGCAGCTCAGTGGGATCAACGCAGTGAGTGCCAAGACACCCCTTGGCAGGAGCCTCCACCCACCTCCTGCCGCAGGCAGATTCCCTGACCGCTTGGAACCAAGAGCAGGAGGGGAATTGCCCACGCCCCCAGTTGGGTGCTTGGCTCTTCCTTGCAGCTGCGGCCCTCCAAGCGCCTCTGGCCAAGGTAACTGAGGGCCCGTAGCAGGTGTGGGGGCTGGGTCTCTTCCTGAGCACCGGCAGCAAGATTCAGAGGCAGAGCTGAGGCCATGCAGATTAGTCACAACGGGGTTTTTTTGCGAGCTGCAATCCGATGCTGTTTCGTGTCCTCACAGTTGTTGGCAAGCAAAATGGGTATCCTCTTGCAGTGTCTTCCCTTCCTCATTGAGTTTTTTTTCCTACTTTCTCTCAGATTTACTTTTATGCCAATTACGTCTTTGCAGAAACAGGGATTCCCCCTGAGAAGATCCCCTATGTAACTTTAGGTACAGGGATGTGTGAATGCCTCACTGCCCTCACCTGTGTAAGTAGTAGAATTCAGGCTTCCTGTGGGACCACAAAGAGGTTCTTTTCTCCCTGAGCGAGCAAGTGGCTTTACTCTTCTCCTGCTGCAGGGTTTGCTAGTGGAATCCTTGGGGAGGAGAGCTTTGATCCTGGGAGGCTACTGCCTTATGGTGCTTTGGTGCTTCGTCCTGACCATCTCCCTGAACCTCCAGGTAATTGGGAAACCTCCTCATTTCCAGCTAAGAGGGTGAGCTTGCCCACTGCTCATTGCACCCGCACGCAGGACCTTTTGCCGCAGTGGCTGTAAATGCTGAGCATTACCTACTACCTGCATAGCACAGCCCTAGCAACACCATCCACCGACTCTTTCCACTACTTGGGAAAGGAAATACGTAACCTGCCATCTTATGCTTTCTCCTCAGGTGCACGTATGGGCACCATACCTGAGCATGGCTTGTGTATTTGCCTTCATCTTGAGCTTTGGCCTTGGACCAGGTATCCCTCTTTTATGATTGCAGTGAAATCCACACATGCCAGCCTGCAGGGCCTGGCAGTGGACTGTAGAGGCTGAGGTGACCTACCTTAAGGAAGACATGTTTGGAAGGGGATGGGGGGGGGAGTGTTTGGTGTTTTTTCAGCCTGGATAACACATCTGTCTTATGTAGTCTTAGAATCACCAAGACTGGAAGTACTGCATGCATCCATCTATGCTAGTCTACGACTGTAATAAAGATTTGCTTTGCATGCTTGCCTAAGGAGTTCAGAGGTGGGTAGGGAATGACCTCCCAAGGCGTTTGCTGGCCAGATGGATTTACACAAGGTGTCTTCAGACACCTCCATTCAAAACTTGCTTTCTGACAAGGAGCCCAAGATGGCAGCTACTAAAGTTCTTTGCTCTGCTCTGGAGTAAAAAAGAGCTATCCATCCATCTATCTGCATCGTTCTGCATGGACTTGAAGTCAACTTCCCCCGAAACTCAGAATCTGTTCTCTATTTCTGCTTTATGTTCCACCACATCTGCCAGAAGGTTGAACTGGCCTGCGTCCTCTGCAATGTGCTTCTTGCATAATTTGCCTTGTCCGTTCCTTCTACGTTAACAAGGGCCCCTTCCTTCAGGTGGCGTGACAAACATTTTGACGACCGAATTGTTCATGCAGTCCTCCCGCCCTGCCGCTTACACCATTGCAGGATCAGTGAGCTGGCTGAGCTTCTTCACTGTTGGCATGCTCTTCCCCTTTGTTGTGGTAGGTTGGTTGTTTCATGGGACCCTGCTTCCAGCCTTGTGCTTTGGGCTATTTTGATCACTTGTGATTGACTTCATCCCCAGCTGAAGCTTCCCAGGGGTGAGGAGTTGCCGTGATCAAAACACTCCCTCTGCATACCTTCAAAGGAAAGGACTCCAGGGTGTAAAAGGAAGAGTGTGACACAATAGCCCATTGGTATAAGGACCCCAGTCTTGGGCAGAGGGTTAGGCTAGAAGACCTCCAAGGTCACTTCCTGCTCCACAATTCTATACTTTGTGGAGATGATTTTAGATTTTTGATCATCAAGAGATGGTCTAAGTTTAAATATTATTCAGCCTATGATCATTCACTTTGCAAAGTCAGGCATTAAGTGAATTGTAGCTTGACACTTGGGAAAAAGGATCTGCTTCGGCCCTCATCTCTTTCAAGGGAGGTATTGGACCTGCACAACTTAAACCTCTAAATAGAAACGATCCTTGGCTCCACTTGTTGGGAAAGATATAGATCATAAGAGATCAAGTGTAAAGCCAGAACTGAAAATTTTGCAACAAAATCCCCAAGTTCTACTTTCCCCTCCTTTAACTGTCTCTCGTTGCCTACCCCAGGGCAACCAGTGCGGTTCAGGCAAGATGTTTTCCTAAGTCCAAGTGTAGTTTACGTACTTTGGTATGTGGGCCCCTCCTTCCAGCTGGGTGGTAACCTGGAAACAGTGTCTTAAGAAGATACACTACTTAACTTTAGTGTCCCCAAGCGTTCCCCCTCCCCACAGTTCATGGCAGTCTGTCCCTGTATAGCAGCAAAGCGCAAGCAAGCGCAACAAGGCGGCAGCTGACAGGAGGCCTGAAAAAGGCTTTGGTGGAAATTGTGCCATCTGAGGGCATCTCTTTGATCAGAAAGGTTTTGGTTTTGGGAGAGCCAAGTGTTTACCAGCCTCCCTTCTGCTCTAACAATGTTAGAAGCCGTTCTTAATTTCAGTATAGAAGTTTGACAAGCATGTTAATGAAAACGAATTTGTGAACTACTACTGCTAAGTCTAGAAATGGGAGTGCATGCTGCCTTAGGTGTCTTCAGTGACACTCCCCCCCACCCCTACTGGGATGCCTCTATACAGCTTGAAATGATACCTTGGACCAGGACAGGAGGCTTGGCTGGCTGTAGCCAAGGACTACAGTTAACACTAGTCCAACTTGCCCAGAGGGTATATGGGTAAAACAGAGTCATTGCAGCTTTTTGTGGTCACTCACATTTCATTTTTTCATTTTTCCAGAAAGGACTAAAGCAGTACTGCTTCATTGTGTTTTTGCTAGAATGCAGCGCAATGGCCACTTTCATTTTCTGTATTATTCCTGAGACAAAGAACAAAACCTTTCTAGAAATTAAGAGAGAATTTCACAAGCTCAACTTCAGGAGAGCCAAAGACCCGTACGAAGAATCATGCGAGAGACAGCAGCTTTGCCCAGAGGTTTAAGAGCTGTTCTGGAGTTGGGCAATCAAGACGCCACCCCAAGAGGCTCTCAGGTGGCTGGGCCAAGAGGAGCTGCACCTTTCTGAGCCCACCAGCTACCCAGGCAGTCCCTGGGTCTGTGCATTGAGCATATCCCCGCCTTCCAGAGAGCAGGGCCTGCTTAATAAAGGGCTGCTTTTCATCTGGCTCCTGTCTTCACATTTAGAACATAGCTGAGCCGTGCTAGTCAAGGGGAAGAGTGCAAGAAGAGCCACTGAGAGTAAAATTGGCAGGGCCGAGAGGGCAGCTGGTCTCCAAAACATAATTCACCAATTAGGCTTCTTGTACGCGGTACAGACATGCTAGAAACAGGGGCAGATGGAGAGAAAATTGAGGGAGAGTTCTTGACATATATGGGTAATAAGACGCCATACATATTATTCATAATATGGGAAGCTCTTTTGGGTAGTTCTCTGGGCAGAATAAAAGCTCACAGCACTTTAATTAGAAAATCATGAAGAAAATAAGAGGCTTATAAAATATGCACAGCATGGAAAAATTAACAGAGTTGTGAGAACCCTAGTGTCAGTAGGAGGGGACCCCACCTCTTGCTTGTAGGTTTACGCCACGATCCTTGAGCGAAGCCAGTCTTCAGCCCTGGTGCGGCTTCAGGACTTGGTCATTCAAATGGTAGGTGTGACCACTTGAGAAACTTTCCTGAACAGCTTTGGGCAGGAGACCCTGTGCCCTTTCAGTCCTGGCGACCTCTGTGAACCCACCCCAGCGTGCCCTAGACTCCCGGCTGCAGGGTATAAGGGTGGGGCAAACAGCCCTTGCTTCCCTGCTCTAATGCCTACTATCCTGCAGGGCAGTAAAAAGTCTCTCCGTGCACGGTGGGCCAACTTCTGCCAAGAGACGCAACAAGTAGGCACCATCTTGACCAAGCACCTTTCATACACAGAAACCGAAATGGATACCCAGAGCGCCTTTATTTTGATTTGTGGGCTCCGTCACAGGCAGCTTCTCTTTCTGGCGCACAAGCAGAGACAGGAGAAGGCTGCTACCTGCCCCCTCCCCTCAATCTCCGAAAAGGGACAAGCCAAAGGGCATCCTGGGTTGCCCGATCACGAAGGGGCTTTCTTTTCCTTCACCTTCTCCTCAAGGTTCGCAAAGTATTTCATTTTGCTCAAGAGTCTTTTGGCCTTGGGAAGGTCACCTGCAATTACAAGACCAGAACAAGCCTTAAAAAGGTCACAGGACTGCCAAAACCACCAGGGACGCCTACGCTGGAAAGTGAGGGGGAAACTCTGGGAAGGAAGCCAGGAGAAATGGCTGTGAAGGAGCTTGCATGGCTGTATGGAAGGACAAGAGTGGGTGAGCTGGATGCTCTGCCCGTAGCCCGACCACCCACCTGGCCTCCTACCTTGCTCGAAAGCCCCGCTCACCTCCTGCAACAGAGCCTCTTGCTTGGCTGGAAGAGAAAAGAGGAGGAGGAGGAGGAAACCACGCAGCCTTCGGCCGCCTCGCAAGGAAGCTCAGAGGGGCCTCCCCTCCCGACCCCCGAGGCCGCAGAGGCTCCCACCGACCTGCCAGGAGGCGCTCCAGCGCAGCCAGGCTCGCTTCCGAGTCCGCGGCCGCCAACTGCTCGTTCAGCTCCAAGACCTCGGCGAGGAAGCCGGGCTCGGCCTCCGCATCGCTGCCCGCCGCCAACTCGACTCCGTGCAGCTCCAGCTGGGAAGGAGCAGAGGGCGCGGTTCAGGGTGGACCCCGCCGCCCCCGAGCCCGCCGCCCCTTCCCGCCGTCTTACCAGGTAAAGGCCGCGGCTGAGCGGGCGGCGGAGGGTGCAATAAGCCAGGTTGATCAGGGCGGCGTGCTGCTCCGAGAAGCCGCGCTCGGCCTGCAAGGCACGGAGGGGGTCAAGGGCCCTGGGGTCTTCCAGCCCAGCCCCAGCGGGGCTCCTCCTACCGGCTCCCACCTGCGGTCGGCGGCTGAAGCGGTCCGGGTGCAGCGAGCGCTGCAGGGCCAGGAAGCGCTGCCGGAGCCGGGCCAGGTCCAGGGCGAAGCCGCGCGGGCTGCGGGGAGGAGGGAGCGTCAAGCGGCGCCGCGCTGCCTCCCTCCGCCGCCCCCCCCCCNGGCAGGCAGGCAGGCAGGCAGGCAGGCGCCCCGCCCCGCGCAGGCGCAGGCGCAGGGCGGGAGGCGCGGAAGGTGTCCCGGCGCCGCGGCCCCATGTCCCTCCGAGAGCCGCCGTCGCCGCCGCGGGGGGGCGGGACGCAGCCGAGCCAGCAGCCGTCGGGCTCCTCGGGCAGCTCCTCCTCGGGCACGCTCAGCTCCCTGGACACCCTCCCCGCGCACGACCTGCCCGCCATCCCCGAGGACCAGGAGGAAGAGGCGGCGGAGGCGGCGGAGGAGGCGCCCCGGCCGTGGGGACACCTCTTCGGCCTGGCCCGGGGCTTTCCCGACTGCGGTGCGTAGCCGGCCCGGGGGCTTGGGCGCGGCTGCGGGGAAGGGTCCCGAGCGCGGCCTGGGCGGGAGCGGTCGGCCGGGGACGCGGCTGCGGCCGTGGGGTGGACCGCTTGACTTGCGCGAGCCGCCTGGTGGGCCGGTCCTGCCCGGGCTGACCGGAGCCGCTCCTCTTCCCGCTCAGTCTGCCTGAAGAACGAGTACTGGTTTGGCCGCGACCCCGGCTGCGACTACAGCTTTTCCAGGCTGGATCTGGCCAGGAGCGAAGCCTACCGGCAGTACAGCAAGAGGCATTTCCGCATCTTCAGAGTAAGCCCCGGAGGGAGCGGAGGCCTGGGGGGCGGCCCCTTTGGGCGTGGGTCCTCTGCCCTCCCTCCGGTCGAGGGGAGCTGAGCGAAGTTTGCTCTTCTGCCAAGGAACCGGGACCTCCGGGCTGCTTTGTGACTTACCTGGAAGACCAAAGTGCCAACGGGACCTTTGTCAATGACCGTGTGGTGGGCAAGGGCAGGAAGATTCCTCTGGCCCACGTGGCCAAAATTGCCCTGTCTCTGCCTCACAACAAAGGTAGGCAGAGCTTGCTTGGCATGCCCAAACAGCAGGAGGCACAGAAAACCTACTTTGGAGACAGCCACACACACCCCTTTCAACATTTGTTCTCTGGGGCAGCAGAGCCATAGCAAACTCAGAAATGCTCTTTCACCCACCTGGCACGCCTCACATGTCCCCGCTGTGCCCACAAAAGATGCAACTTAAACAGAAATGCATGCCACGGGCACCCCGTGCTGGAATCCTGCAGGGAGCATGCCAAGCCCTACCCTGCCATCAGAAGCGACTGAAGCAGGGCCTCTGTAAGATCACCCCCTGGCTCTTCCCATTTCTCCCCCCAGGGGATGCAGCACAGGGCATGCAGTCTTGAGTGTCTGGGGCTGGATCCCTGGGCACCAGGGAGTTACAACTTTGCTCTGCTCCTCCCACCCACACAAGCCCTGCCAACTACACTTAAAAATGCCTGTCTAGGCAGAGCAGGAGGTAGTTCTGACAAGATACTCAAGGCTTCCCATAATGTTTGTGATCCCCCACTAGCTTTAAGGAAAAGGGGTGAGTGTATGAAGTAGACCTACGGTTAGAAATTTGGGGGTAAATGCTCCTTCCAAATGGCCACAATTTTCCTTGAATATTTTTGCATTTGCTGATTTTCTTGGGCCCCTGAAGTAGTCTTGCCCTTTAGTCGTTGTCCATGTTCAACCATGCTTGCAATGTGGCATGGCAATGGCTGGGTTGTGCAAGGGGCTTCATGCCATTTGTAACAGGAGTGCCCTCTCTGCTGCCTTCCCAGTGTTTGTGTTCTCTGACCTGGAAGCCGGGCATCAGCTGGAATACCCCAAGGAAATGCAGAAGAAATACATCGTCTCAAAGACACTGGGCAGGTTGGTGGGAGGCATCCCTTTCTTGGAGGGCAGGTTGGTTTCAGCATGGGTCTCCCTCAGTTGGAAGATTTTAAATCCATCTTTCTGCATCGGCTTCAGCTGCTCTCACGCTGTCTGGGCAGAATGGATCGTATTAGAACCAGATGAGGCCAGAGAGCTAAGCTCGGGAGCAGCCCCCTGGTCTCTGTGGGCCTGCCTCCCCCCCCCCAGGCTCCCCTGGGCCCACTGTGGGAGGAGAGTAAGAACAAGATTGCTAGGCACCGGGGTCTCCCTTACAGCAGCAATTTCTTCTATTTCTGTTAGTGGGGCCTGTGGAGAGGTGAAGCTGGCCTTTGAAAGGGACACCCATAGGAAAGTTGCCATAAAAATCATAAAGAAATCAAAGTTTATGACTGATGTTTTGCCAGAAATGGTAAGTCTTTCCATTTTGTTTCTTTGTACCCTAATCCTAGCCAGAAAGGAACCTTTTGAAGAGAGGAAAGCATCCTTTTAAATGACTGAAAATCTTACAGCATTTGCTTCCCTGATTTTAGCATATTGATGCAACATGTTTGTGCATTATCTGGCTGGCTGTTTGTGGACTCCATGTAGCCTCAATGCCTTTACTCTGTGTGTGTTTTTCACTAGAGGTTGATGCAGGAAGCAGATGTTGATTGGCCTATTAGCTTGCTCAAATCTCTCACCCTCCACCTTGAGGGAACCCCTTTGTAAGACCAAGGGACTTAAATTTCATCCAAGTGCATACATTTTCTACAAAGCTCTTAAAATGCCCCACTGCTGACCCCTCCCCAGTTCAGCCACTCGATGGGTACAGCCCTATAGAAAAAGCTAACAGCTTTGCTGCACAAATAAGCTTCATTTACCAGCTTCTGTTCCCACTTTTTAAGGCAAAGATCTTTTCTCCAAGAGCTGCTGTCTCCCTTTTCAACTTAATTTGCAGTTGAGCAAATATGTTTTTGTTTATTTTTCCTCTGGTTTTTGCTTCATTACAGCAGCCACTCTTATCACTGTCCTGTTTTGAAAATTGCTTCCATTTAAGGGGATGAGTTCAAGCTGCAGGGGTGACTTTATATTTTGATGCTCCATTGTTTAACAGCAGGACAAGCCCTTTAACATTGAGACAGAAGTGGGGATCTTGAAGAGGATCAACCACGTGAGTAACACTTCAAAGTGAATAGCATATTCTGTCTTGGGTTTGCTCCTCTTCTCTTTTGATTGGAATTAAGTCACTGGTAAGGTTTCTGGACAAAATTATTTGTTTTAAAAAGACTCTGTCATTCTTTTATTTAAAGCATACTTAATCAGGTGACTCGTATCTGTATGAATGGATTCACAATCCTTCTTTTTAAAAGCAAAACAAAATTGCTGTTTCAAACACTTTCCATAAGAGTCACTTCTGAATATTGTCTTTCTTTTTCTCTGTAGCCCTGCCTAATCAAGATAATAGATTTCTTTGAAGGAAAAGACTTTTACATTGTGTTGGAATTGTAAGTTGTGGTTCTGGGTTTCTGTCTGTGACTCATTGCAATTCAAATGAGCATCTGGTATTCCCAGAAACCAGCAATATTTAGAAGATGAGCTGGTTAGGGTGAAGGAAATAAAATGTATCTATAAAAAAAATTGAATAGTATTTCAAGGCCCATTGAACTCTAGGAAATAAAGCCCATCCCCGTCTTATGTCCAGCTGCTGCTTCAAGGCTTATCTTGGCACCTGGTTTTGGAGGTCCAGATGAGGTGTCTGATGAACTATCCCTTGATCGCAAATGCTTGTGGCTCAAACAACTATGAGGTCCAGCAAGCCAGGAAATTAGTGGAGTCAGTTGGGGTCATTTACAAAGAACCCCACTTCTCATTTCAACCTGAAGAGCTGGCCTTTCCTAGTTGGCACTGGGTCTCTCTCTGTGTTACCTTGACATGTGCTTCCTAGGAAGAAAACAAAGCCGGTAACTTTCCCTCTAATCTGTTCAGGATGGAAGGTGGGGAACTGTTTGACAAGGTTCAGCGACCAGCACGGCTGAGTGAAAGAACTTGCAAACTTTATTTTTACCAGATGTTGTTGGCTGTGCAGGTAATTGTGACAACATGAACTGGGAGTTTGGCTGGCGACTCAGCTGCAGTATTTTCTATTGGCATCTGCTGGGCTTGCTGTTAGAGGTGGGCTTATGCTGTGCATCACATCAAGAAGAAATTGGGGGAGGGGGTTAATACCTGGGGAGCCTGTCAAAATGCACTTTATGACTTTGAGCTCAGGCAGAAGTTAAACAGAGCTGTGAATAGTAATCAGCAGAGCACCGAAGTTTATACCTTAAAAATAAACCATGTTAGTTTGAAAAGGGGCTACTAGACTCCTGTCTTGCGTCTTTTTGTAAGTCCATTTATTCCATGATTTTTCCCCTTTTTGGTATTCTGCAAAGTACCTTCACAAACATGGCATAATTCATCGGGATTTGAAACTGGAGAATGTGCTTTTATCATCTAGGGAAGAGAACTGCCTTGTCAAGGTAAGTGAGGAACTGCCTTCCCCTGTATGCAAATTCCTTTTATATTGAGTAAGAGGGCAAAGTAAGATGTACATTTCTGATGAGACTGAAGAGGCACAAGGAAAAGTTTTATTTCAAGTTTTGAACTGTTCTCAACTTTCCTTGTACAAGATTACAGATTTTGGGCAATCCAAGATTGTTGGAGAAACTTCTCTTATGCAAACATTATGTGGCACTCCTGACTATCTTGCTCCAGAGATTCTACATTTTGCTGGAACAGCTGGATATGGACGGTCTGTGGACTGCTGGAGTCTTGGAGTGATTCTCTTTATGTGGTAAAACAGTTTAGTATTGCTGGTAAAATACTCAGCTTCACATCCTGTTCTTTACAAGAACTAATGCTGTACCTTGGTGTAAACTCGCTGAGATTGGAGTAATGTCTGGATAACACCCACCCTGGGATTGCAGCCCCAGGCCAAAGTACAGGTCTCTTTGGCATTGCAACCTAATGTGGAACTTAGCCGTGCTGGAGAGAGATCATACTGAACATTCTGATTGGGGCTGAGGGCCACAGTTTGGGGAGTGCTGGGATTTTAAGACCTGTTTGGGAAAGGTTGTATTTTTAAAAGCAATGCACTTATTTTAGGATTTACACTACAGCTGTCATATTTCATGTGACAACAGAGGTGCAAAACCTGGCCAAAGGCGGCTTTGGGAAGTACTAGCAGGGAGGCGTGAGCTGCAGCTGTCCCCCTGTTGTAACAGGGACTAAAGCGTTTCTGTTCCTCCTTTTGCTCAGCCTCTCTAGCTACCCGCCTTTCTCCAAGCAAAGTGCCCGGCTGTCTCTGACAGAGCAGATCA